GGAATTTGGGGAATTCTAAAACATTAAATATTACAGAAGAACCAAACTAAACAAAATGAATGTGTGATGTAAAGTCAGTTTATATGCTCCTCATTGTGACTTGGAGCAAATAAAACTTTCTTCTAATATAATAGAAATAGTTCTGTTCATTTATTTCCACAAGTGGGTTTAAAAAAATGTCATGAAGTTGAGTAAAAATCATGAGCATAATAGACTGCTGTAAACTGAAATTCTGTCTGTGAAGTATTATAAAATTACATAATAACTGGTTCAAACCTCAGAATTCACATTAAAACCCAGTAGTTATTTTTGGAAGATGGGTCATAAATATGTTCAGTATTGCTGTTTAATTCTCATGTTGAAGTCAGGTGCTGATGGCTCACACCTGTAATCCTAGCTACTCAGGAGGTTCACATCTGAGAATTATAGTTGAAAGCCAGCCTGGGCAGGAAAGTCTATGAGACTCTTATCTCCAGTATACTACCAAAAGGCCCAGAAGTGGAGCTGGGATCAAGTGGTAGATAACTAGCCTTAAGCAAAAGAAGTTGAGAAACAGCATCTAGATCTTGAGTTTGAGCTTCAGGACCAGCACCAATAAGTAAGTAAGTAAGTAAGTAAATAAATAAATAAATAAACTCAATTCTTATGTTGATATAAAGACTCAAAACCGAATCCATAATTTTCCACTTACTTTTTTAGCACACAGAAGTATTAGAAAAGTATTTGAGGCTAAAACTGCAGCCTTTTCCTAACATTCTGAACAAAAATATTTATACTTGGAAACTTAAGCTTGAAAACGGAAAATTTGACAATTCTGATATTAGGCTGGAATTTACAAGGTTCCTTAGTAGCCTACTAACTAAAAATGATTGGGAGAATATTCTTTTTCTTAGTATCATAAAGCAAAATCTAGTTGGTTCTTATATCTCTTAGTAGATCGATTTAAAAGTCTTGATATTATTTATCAATGGTTAAGTCAAAACATTTTTGCTAATATTTATTAAATTATTTGAAATAGTTACATCTTTACTTGAAATATATATAAAATGTCTGAGATTAATAGGGATTTATATAAAAGGGTTAGCAGTAGCCAAAAGATAAGTAAGTCAATAAGTGTGTCACAATTCACTCAGAGGAAACAAAAAATATCAAATTATAATTTTTAAATAATACTAACTTTCCCTGGTAATAAAGGGAATAAACCTCCAAATAATGTTTTGTTTATTTGTTTCGTTGTTGGGGATCAGAGCCATGTCTCTTACATGTTAGCCATGTAAACCATATCTTAAACCCTTTGGTTGTGCAAGACTGTTGAGCTAGGTTCTTGGTGTATGGCTCACACTGGCCTTGAACTCTGGACCTTCTGCATGTACCTCCCAAGTGCTTATATGTGCACCAGTACATCTAGTTTTAAAACAGTTATTTAAATTTTGACCTAAGATGTTAACCTAATTGAAAAAGATATATGTTTTTAAGAAATTAGTTAAGATTATCATCTTGATGAGTGTAATTGAAAATGGCGTTTTGGCTTTCACATCTCATTATATAAATGTTATCATCTATATACAACTTGTTTAAGAAAAAAATACAGAGGCTCACCCCTGAAATCATAGCTACTCAGGAGGCTGAGATCTGAGGAGCAAAGTTTGAAATCAGCCTGGGCAAGAAAGTCTGTGAGACTCATACCTCCAATTAACTACCAAACAGCCATTAGTGGAGCAATAGTTCAACTGGTAGACCATCAGCCTTGAGTGAAAAAAAGCTAATGAAAAAAGCTAAGGCCCAGGCCTTAACTTCAAGCCCCAGTAATGGAACAAAAACAAGCAAATAAATAAATAACATTGTAGATTTTGAAGTACACTTATGGAAAAAGAAGCTATGAATGGCAAAAGTAACTTTTGAAAAGATGTCTTTAAATGTATATCCGGCAAATAGCATAGTGCTCCAAAACACAAAAGAGTATCAGCTCTTACAAATTGTATTTTCCTTCCTAATTGTCATTTTGTTTAACTGTTTTCAGTTTTGACAGCTGGAGTTATGGATTCAAAAATATATTTAAAGTATCCACTTACCTGGGATGGCCATTAATGATCAATTATGTATAAATGCACAAATGCAGTCAAATTGCTTTTCTTTTTCTTTAGGTTAGCTCCACTGAAGGATAGTCTTTTGTAGCCAATGAAGAGTTGAATGTGTGATGGGAAAGAAGGCATTACCTAGAAAGAAATGTCCAGGCATGGTGGGAGAGATAGAGAAAGGAGCTGGTTTTCAGTCTTTTCTGTGCTCTCAGATTAACTACTGCAGAGATCCTGTGAGAAGTAAACTCTAGTTGGGTGAGGTTGATTCAAGCCTGGGATCCTAGCTCCTTGGGATTTTGGGGTTTGGGGATAGTCCAAGCGGAAGAGGACAGGGAACGAGATAAAATTTCTTGAGACTGCATCTCAACCAGTGTCTGGGCATGGTTGGTACATGCCTGTCATCACCAGCGATGTGGAGGCTCAGTAGGAGGATCACAGCACAGTAAATGCCAGGCATAAAGTGAGACCCTGCACTGGAAGGAAAACTGGGAGGGAGAGGAAAACCTGGGAGAAAAGGAGGGAGGGGGTAACACTGCCCCCAAAGAAATGTACTTGTTACCTGATTTATATAATTGTAACCCCTCAGCACATCACGTTTACAATAAAATGTGGCTAAAAAAGAAAGGAAAAGATAAAACAACAACAACAAAGACTGGATGTGTTCTAGAGCATTTGTCTAGCAAGGGCAAGATCCCAAGTACAGTCCTCAGTATTGATAAAGTGATTTCTTTGTTGCTTTGTATATCCCTCCCCCACGGTATAATGCCTGTTTTCACTGTATTTATGTTGGTATACTTTGGGGAGAGGAAGGGGAAAAACAACTTGTTTAAATAGGGATACAGGTGGACCCATTGCAATAATGAGATGTACAAGACGTTATGCCGAAAAACGAACTTTACCACTTTGGGGGGAGGTTGGGAAGTATAGTCGTGGAGATGGGAGGGCAAGGATGGTAGGGGAAAAACAAAGCAGGAGGCAACCATGCTTGATAAGAAATGGACTCATTACCTTGCTCATGTAACTGTGACCCCTCTGTACGGTATTTTCACAATAAAAAAACTTATTTGAAAAAAAAAGAAAGTAAGAAAAGAAGAAAGGAAACTGACTAGCTTCTGATCTACAAGAAAACTTGTAAGACAGGCCATGGGTAAGTTAAAGGGTATTGAGAGCCTAGATAACCTTCAATGAACATTTTTGATCTCCAGGCACCAGGATGATGGTCAGTGGCCATGATCCAGATGATGATGGCTCATTGGGTAAATTTGCTTGTAAATCTGAGGCTACTCAGAGTTCACTTCCTCATAGAATCTCTAAGTGGTTGGTAAAAGATCTGGAAATGACATTATTTGGGCTAACACTTTTTAGGGGACACGTAGTGTTATACATGTGAAGATCTAGTATTTACATTTTATTTATTGCTAACAGATTTGAATCCTAGATATCCTGGATAAAGGCCACAGAGAGACAAATTACCACATTGTTATATGAATGAAATTTCTTATCCTTAGACCAATCTAGTAATGGTGTGGGCTGCTTTCCAAAGCTGTGGACTCCAGCTCAGTCTAGAAATGATTACATTGATATTCAAGTGTGCTGAGAAGGCTCTGGTAATCCTAAAAATCTCTCACATCACCCTATGATTCCAGAGCTTCTCAAGACTAACGTTTTATTCTAGGACTAAGGGAGCATACTGTACTTCCTTCAAATGTTGAGGAAAAAAACAAAACAATAATCAATACGCAAAGGAAGCCAAGTTTCCCTTTCAGCACAACTGAAAAAGGCTAAAAAAAATCCTTATTATAAACACAGGAAGGAAAAAATAGAAAGCAAGACAAATAGGCAATATGAAATGTAAGAGAATGACCTAGATTACTAAATGCAATTTCTTGTCTCAGCTTGTTTCACATCTTGTAGCCCTGGTCCTAAGCCAACTGTAGTTGTGTTTTCTCCACTACTAGAAATAAAAAGGCAGGGGAATATTTAAGGTAAACAGAGTTAAGTTTATTTGAAAGTGAGAGGAAAATCATGAAAGAAAGTAGAGAGAGCCTCCAGTCATCTGCAGAGACTCCACAAGAAATCCCACAGAGTCCCCTTGGAGGGCGTTTTATAATGGTGGGTGTCTCCTCCCATATCTCCTCCCCTTGACTTCCGGCTGATTGCTTGTTAGCTGGTGCACACACAGCCCTAGCTCTTTCCATTGGTTGATTAAGGCATCGGGGCATTATAGGAAGAAAAAGCATGTGGGCAGGGACTCACAACCGTCTAGGAAGAAGCGTTTGACAGGAGCCAGAGCCATTATGGGAACAAGAGGCACTGTGGTGGGACACATGCTATCTGCTGTATTGTCCGTCGCTTTTTATTTCTAACTGTCTCACAGTTCCCCATTCTCTCTCATTTTGAAATAATCCCCATAGCTCCTGAAACACAACACTGTTCCAGATTCTGCCTGGAACTCTCATTGTATAGCAGGGGTCAATTTGAGCCATTGAGCATAAGACTTTTACTCTTAGAAATCTGGAGACCTATGGACAGTGTACACAGCATTTGGTTCTTTATGGAATGCTCACCAATGCCTATAAAGAGCAGTAAATATCTTTGAAAAGGTAATGGTCACTTCTTTTTATCTAGACCTTATAGTCAAGAAAACAAAAACAAAAAACAAACACTAAGCCAGTGGCTAGTGGACTGAGATCTGGAAGGTGCATGTTTGAAGAGCACTGCTTCACTGGGTGGTAGCCAGGACCTTGGCTAGGGCTTGCAGCTGGGCTTTCTGGTCCACTGGCCCTCCACACAGAGCCTGCCCCTCCTCTCACTAAAGTCGATCAAATATTTAAAGAATGTTAGCTGGAAGAGAAGCCAAGTTGCTAACCTATTTAATGTCTCTGTGAGCCTATGTTTATCATAGTGTCCTATAATCTCTTCCTTTTTCTTTCTGTTTCTATAGTGTCTATGGAAAACATTGGTGAACAAGGTAAATTATTTTGTTTATTGTTGTGGTATAATAGTTTAAAATAGTTTGAAGAAACCAATGATCCATTTAGAATTGGTTGGAATTAAGAAACGACTCTTTTGGAAAGTAAGAGAGTTAATGACATCTCATTTCTTTGAGCCCCTAAAACTGAGTGCTGTCACTTGCAACAAGAATTCGACTCACCAAGTGGCTGTATTTATTAAGAGATTTTTTGTAGCTGTGAAATAACAGGAATTTCATCTATCTCTATCCCAGCTTGGGATACTACCCAACAAATGAATTATCTACATAATTTATGAGACCTGCCATTGGGCTCTGATAGTCTCATGATGATTTAGGTGCTTTAGTAAATAATTCAAATTTTTAATGATTCTATAAATATAAATAACATTCTCTAGAAAAGTTAAAAATTTCTATTAAGGTTTTTAAAAATCAAACTGCTGTCTGCTAAAACTGCCTGTTTCACTCAGCTATGCCCTGCAGTGCTGAATTGAATATTATTCAGAATGAATTCATACTGTATGAAAAATTAATAATTTAAATATGTTAGTAAGTCAAGACTTTAAAACACCACATGAAGTGTGCTTCACTGCATTTTCTTAAGAGAAGTATGCAGAATGCTTCCCTCCACAGTTGTCCAAGGTGATAAATAAAGCAATTGAACTCCCAGTGGAGGAAATCTCTCCTTGTCCAGATGGTCACTGTTTAAATATGTTGACATTACATTTGGTGCCACCCCAGTATCTATGGGAGCCAAGCAAATAGGCAAACAGCTTTTCACATAGGAGCTGCTTTTGCTGCTTTCATCAGTAATGCCAAGGTATTAGAGCCTGAAAGTTGTAACATTTGTTTAATGCTGCATTTTCTCTTCAAAATTGAAGGCATAGGTCGGGGATGTGGCTTAGTGCTAGAGTGCTTGCCTAGCAAGCATGAAGCCCTGGGTTTGATTTCTCAGTACTACATAAACAGAAAAAGCCAGGAGTGGTGCTGTGGCTCAAGTGGTAGAGTGCTAGCCTTGAGCAAAATAAGTTCAGGGGCAGTGCCCAGGCCCTGAGTTCAAGCCCCAGGACTGGAAAAAATAAAATAAAAATATTGCAGGCATAATTTTTAATTTTGATAATTCAGGAAATGTCCCTGTTAGCTGTTCTACCAAAAGATGGGCATTTTTCTAGCGATGGGCGGGTTCTGTTATGGGCGAAGATCTACTTATGTGTTTAGAAATTAAATAAAAAAATAAAACTCTCAGCTTTATGTTTATTATGTTCAAAGAGTTGTACTTCTTCTATGATGTAAGTGAGCTGTTATAATTATAGTAGGCAATCTGGATCAGTTTTAGAGCAAGCAGCTCTTTTGTGAATGCCACAAATTTTGAGTATGTATTTGCATATTATAATGATAATTTTTTTCTCATTTTAGTTGTGTGTCTAATGGCTTATCATCTACTTTTTGCAATGTTTATCTGGTCATACTGGAAAACTATCTTTACATTACCGATGAATCCTTCAAAAGAAGTAAGTTAAAAATTAACAAAGCTATCGTAATGGTAGAAATCAATAATAATGATGTGTGAAGAAATACACTTTGTTCTTTTTACAAGTTATGCAAGCTTATTGAGTACAGTGAATTCTTTTTGGATAAATATTGTTTGTTAGTAAATTCTTGAATTTTTACTTGATAAATATGTTTTTACCAGATGGTTATTGCGTTTCTAAAATAAATATAAATATATGTTGCATTAAATATATAAATGTATATCCAATATATTTTCCAATATATTAAATCTGTTATATATTCCAGTAGGAATATATAACAATACCTACAGGGAACAGCAGGTATTGGCGGTGGGGGGAGGGGTGGAGAGAGGGGTAGGGGAGGGGCAACAAACAATCTCTGATACCAAAAATTTTAAGTGGAAAGATATGATTAAGTCTCCTTTGAATACATCATTCTGAGTCTTTCATCTGGTTAAGTGTTTTTGGAGCAAGGGGCGTGTATCTTAAACATTGTTGTAACATTGGTACTTAGCCTATTCTTCAAACATTTTAATTCTTAAAACATTACCAAAGTGACCCTAACTTCATGCATGTGCCACCAAATGTTTCCAAACAGGCTACTCAGTTTGTATGTACTTGGGGGTGTTTTGTTTTTGTTTTTCAAAACAGTTTATAGCAATTTACTTTTGATTTTAAAGTCATCTACGTACATGATGCCTGGCCTAAAACTTTTTTTTGTTTGTTTGTTTTTAGCAAGAGAGAATATCTGGTGCTTCCTTGATAACAGTAGTTTGATTGCTTTTCTGGCCCAGCCTGGGGAGGTCAGGCTACAAGGCTTTCACACTCTCCTTAACAGCCACACACATTCATTTACGTATCCCAACTATCAAAGTAGTGTGGAAACACATATAAACATCATTTGTTTTTAGCTGATGATTTCAGGGAGCAAACTTGAAAAGAGCAATTGCTCAAATGCATACCGTAAGCCTCTACATATAGTCTTTGGTTTTGTGTTCATTTGGGGAAAAAAAGCTGGAGTATTCTGAAGTTAAGAAGAAGTAAGTGCAGGGGGAGGATGGGAAGGGATGGGAAGGGGAAACAAAGGAGGAGGCTACAATGCTTGATAAGAAATGTACTCATTATCTTGCCCATGTAATTGTAACCCCTCTGTACAGTATTTTCACAATAAAGAAAGAAAGAAGAAGTAAGTGAATGATGTGAAATTATAAGAAAAGGAATGTTAACTTAGGGAAGAATTTTGTCAATTACCTTAGAAACTCATAAGCAACCTAACATATCTAGTAGTTTCATGCTAGTAAATGTGATACATTTACTTTGAATTATTCATAGTATATTGGTTTTGGACAACAGTTATTTTTATTTCCATTTACCTTAAGTAAAGGGTATGAAATTTTATGACAAGATTTATTCAATGATTATGCAAGTATGAATATTATAATTAATTTAAAGTTACATTTGAAAGCTGGAGATTTTTTTTTATTTTTTTAAGCTGGAGATTTATTAACAGAGCTGTCAATCATATAAATACAGATTTTAAAATTTATTCTCTAAGAGTAACGATTTAGGCTAAGATCTGTCCTAATTTTCATTAAATTGTTTTTTTTTGTTTAATTGACATACTTAGGTACATTTTTGGGTCAGTATTGGGGTTTGAACTCTTACGTTTGTAGGAGGGTACATACTCTACCACCCTTCCAGATCTGTCAATTTAAAAAAATATTTTAAAGAATGCTAAAATATTCACACATGCAAAAGTATATGAAATGTACAACTTCAAGAATAATAAAATGAAAACAGCTAAATAATTACTTTGCCAGTATGTATAATATTTACATCTCTCTATGTACTTCATAGTGTATTTCCTTGTATTCTTCAAGAAGTATCAAGTATTCTTCATTTTATGTTAATTGTCCCCCTTTTTTTTTCTTTTTCTTTTCTTTTTTTTTTTTTTTTGGTCGGTGGTGGGGCTTGAACTCTGGGTCTGGGCGCTGTCCCTCAGCTCTTCAGTTCAAGGCGAGCGCTCTACAACTTGAGCCACAGCACTACTTCCGGCTTTTTCTGCTTATGTGGTGCTGAGGAATTGAACCCTGAGCCTCATGCATGTGAGGCAAGCGCTCTACCACTGAGCCACCTTCCCAGCCCTTCACAAAATGAATAATTTGTTTTTGTTGAGCTCTAGAAGTTTATGTTATTGTTAATTTAAAACTTAGATGAGAAAATATAGCTGAATGATGTTTCTACTGTTATTCCTAATACATGCAAATAAAAAATTCACCTATCGAGCTATATATATTAAGTAGGCCATTTTATTCTTTTGTATAATTAATATTTGGATGGAGCTTTACAGTCATAAGTACTTATTTCATAAAACTTTTTATACATTCTATTCCTTTTAAGTTTTATAAACACTGGAGAAATATATATGGCTATTATTATTATCTTCTTTTTCTGGATGCATAACATAGTGATCTGTGAGGTTTAATCAACTTGTCCAGATTTGAAACTCTGGATATACCATACACCACTATTAATAATTTATAAGTGAGTTGGAGTATATTAGAGAAGACCAATATGTTATCACTCCTCTGACAATACTGATTAAAATTAAAATTTATTCCACAGTTCCATCTCTCCTATGCAGAGAAAGAACTATTGGAGAGAGAGCCAAGGGGCGAAGCTCATCAGGAAGTTCTTAGGCGAGCTGCCAGAGACCTTCCCATCTATACCAGGACCATGTCTGGAGGTAAAAGCATCCACAGTGAGGCTTCAGTACAGTAGCCAAGTTGATGTGCTGTTGTGACTCTTAGGAAGCATATTCATAACTTAGTCTGTCACTCATTTGTGATTTGTTGGATTGCTTTAGATCTTTCTTCTGCAATATGTAAGACAGAAAAGAAGCACCAATAACCCTGGCACAGAGATCTCTCCTAAATCAGAACTGACTTTAGATCTATTCCTCCTACGTAACTGTGACTCAGCCACAATGAAAGAATGGCTGAACTCGTGATATATAGTGCAATTCAGTCTTAAAGCTTTAATGATAGACTTTGCTGTTTAGATTTAAGGGAGCGATATCTATAATCATGAAAAGCTTATATATATATATATATATATATATATATACATTTTATCATAAACTTCAAGCAGTAGTTATATAAAATAATTTAGATATTTATTCATCTTTGAAATTTAAACTATTTTTTAAACAAATACAACTGAAATAGTGAATCTCTTACTTGGAAGTGGGGTATGGTGATAATATACTTATAATCCTTGCCTTTAGGAAGTAGTTATGGGGGATCCACAGTTCAAGGCCAGCCTGGACTACAGAGGGTGTTCCAGGTCAGACTTAGTGAAATTCCATCTCAAAAAACAACAAACACAAAAGGAATCGATTACTTGGAAGCTTAGCATGGTGCTGCATACCTGTAATCTCCCATTCTGCACATAGCTAGAACTAGGAAGACCCACAGTTTAAAGCTGGCTTAACTTTGGATTGTACTTTTAAGGTAATTTAAAACCTAAATAATTGTCATAAAAATCACACACACACACAAACACACACACACACACACACACATGCACACACACACATGCACACACACACACACACACACACACCTATTTTCTGTGTTTTAAAGCTGTGTTGCCCATTGTGGTACCTATCCATTAGCCCATCTGGCTACTGATCATTGATAATATAGGTAGTCCACATTTGAGATGTGCCTTAAATGTAAGATACATGACCAATTTCAAAGATGTAACATGAGAAAAAGAATGTAAAATCCCTAATGTTCTAATATTATTTGTATTATTTCTCCCTTATTTTAGAATCATAATGTAATCTTAAGTCTCTCACATAAATTTTTAGCTTGTTTACTTTCACTGTTTGTCAGTGATCAAATGTATCCTGTGCGCTGCTTGTGTGATAACAGTATCTCCATTAGTCAACCCATTTGGGGCTACATATGCTACATACTGTAGAAGAAAAGGCAAGGACTTCAGCTGCAAGACTAGCATTCTCGGAAGAACTCCCTCCTTTATTTACTTCTACTTGTGTATGTTGCCCCATGGAGATAGGAGATCTTTCCCAATGTAAGCTTCTGAGAGAATCTATTGGAAATTTCTGAACTCTGTTTCTGCAGTTGTATCCTCACCTCATTGTACACAGGTTATAATTTAGCCAAAGAGGACTACCTACTGCAACAGAAATGTACCCTGTAAACCTTACTGTAAATGGTAATGGAAAATATCTTGGGAAATTCTTCTCAAGAGAGTCCTTAGTTTTGAGTAAAACTCTCCAGAAAACTCAAATTGTAGGCAAGTCTTCCTGAGTTTTATTTGTGTGTGTGTGTGTGTGTGTGTGTGTGTGTGTGTGTGTGTGTATGTGCATTTAGACAGAATTGAGTGTGGAAAGTCTTTTTATCCAAATTTAAAAGCAATAAGCTTTTTTAGAACTTAATTCTGAAGAAATGATTAAAAAAAACCACTATTTGCATATTCCATTCTGCATAAAATTGAAGACTAAGGGGAGCTTTTGTTCCTAGCAATCCGCTATTGTGACAGATGCCAACTTATAAAACCAGATCGCTGCCACCACTGTTCCGTCTGTGATAAGTAAGGAAACCTTTTATTTCTAAAATCTTTACATGCTGGTGATCATTACATATAGTATTTATGTTCTATTTTCCAGATTATCATCTCTGTTTCCTAAGTAAGAATTATAGGAATCATAACTAGAACTGTAACTTGCATTAATACCATTGTGGCTTATGGCCACAATCAATAGTCCCTATCCACTAGATTCATGGTGAAATGGAGCACATGATTTTGAGCAGTTCTGATATCGATAGTTCAATTAAAAACAAAACCAAAAACGTCTGTAGTTTCCTCCTTTATAAAGCAATTGATTTCCCAAAGTCAGATATTATAATACTTAATATGCAATGTGAGCAACATAACTTGGCTTAAGGACTGATATTAACAGGAAAACTGTATTCAGATTTTGTATTAAATCTATTGATATTTTATGCTTTCTTTAGCATGAAGAAATTGTATATTAATATATTAATAGAAAATGAGTTGAAAGATCGATGCTGGTGGCTCATGCCTAACTCCCTAGTTACTCAGAAGGCTGAGATCTGAGGATAAGGTTCTGAGCCAGCATCAGCAGACAAATGTGGAAGGCTGCTTTTTCCAAATCACAAACAAAAAGCTGAAGTGGAGGTATAGTTCAAGTGGTGAAGTACCAGCAATGAGCGAAAAAAGCTGAGAATGTAAAACCCCAAGTCCAAGTCCCTAGCAGCACAAATAGAAAATGAACAAGAGTTGGCTTGCTTCTTAAATCATGTATAGTTTAAATTTAAAGTTCATAACTAGAGCCAGTTATAGTGTATATTTATTTATCTATTTAATATTATTTATTTTGCTGGTCCTACAGCTTGAACTCAGGACCTACACACTGTCCCTGAGCTTCTTTTTGCTCAAGGCTATCACCTATTACTTGAGCTACAGATCCACTTCTGGCTTTTTTGGTAGTTTATTGGTGATAAGAGTCTCATGGACTTTCCTGCTCTGGCTGGCTTTGAACCACAATCCTCAGATCTCAGCCTTTTTAGTAGCTAGGATTACAGGCATGAGCCACAGGCTCTCAACTTACAGTTTTATTTTAGATGAGAACTTTCGCTATTTCTGAATATTGAGCTGAATAATGCTGCAATGTTTTACTTGCCACAAATGTTTAAATAAGAATTTATTCTTTTGTTGTGATAGCCTAATGGCATTAAAATTTTGTGTGGTGTTATATTTGGTGTTTTACCCTGATTTTTAGATGCATCTTGAAGATGGATCATCACTGCCCATGGTGAGTATGCCTCTGTACTTAAGTTTCTTTTACAAATCATAATAAGTTGAATTATTTCATTATTTACAATGTTTTCACAAATGAAATAGCGGTTTGGTTGAACAAGAAGACACTTCCTGATTTAGTTTCTAACATTTAATGAGTCAGATAGACCCTTTATTTAGGAGAATTTCCACGAAATGATGTTAGTACTACTATGTTAACCATATAAAGGTTAATGGTATCTTTACAACAATGGTATCTCTGGTTGTACATACAGAGATTCTAAAATCCTATGGAGGAATTTTACACAAAGATTTACAAATTGATTATATATTAAAGCACCCCAGGAGATGGTTGTAATAGAGGAATAGATTACCTAAAGCTTTAACAAAATAGCAAATACACATCTAGGGTTAAGTAAGAGTTTCTCACATGTAGGGTTGAATGCAAGTACACACAAATGCACTAACCAAAGTGTGGTATGTGCTGAGGGTGGGGGGATAGTTTCAACGGTGAAATTCCTTAGAAAATCTATCTTACACTCTGAAAGTGGCCCTTGAAAGGGGTGAGGAGAGGTGAAAGGGAGGAGGGCAGACAGGTGAAGGGAGGAAACAGGGAAGGACACAGTCATAATATCCAACCAAGAAATGAGGGGAGTGGCTGGGGAGAATGGTGAAAATGGGTGACCTGGACAAGGTGCAGTGTACTTATAAACTGATTCTGTTGAATGTACAATGACTTAAAGAAGATAAAAGTATAATTTAAAAAACAAGTAAGAGTTTCTACTTAGAATTCATTAATGTTTTCCAGTACATCTAAGTCATAAAATTAGATGGGTTAGTAAAGCAAAACTGGCTTTTTACAGATAATAATACATTTGTGGTTCTAATTTTCAGAAGTCAGAGCAGCGAACATGTTTCTCTATACTTACTATCCACCTTCTTCCCTGCCCAAGGGATCCAGTGATACTTGTGTCACTGGTACTGTATTGGAATAAACATGCCTGGAAAAGGGAGGTGCTCCATCTTTTTTCAGTACAAGTGACTACACTGTATACTGAATCTCTCCCCTCCCCCCTCCTCTGTGTACTGATACTGTGACTTGAACTGAGGGCCTCATGCTCTTACTCAGCATCTTTGCTCATGGCTGACACTCTTATCTCTTGAGCCACATCACAGCTTCCTGAGTAACCAGGATTATAGGAATGAGCTACCCGTGCCTATCTCTCTTTCTCTTTTAATAAATCCTGAATATGTTCCCATATTAATACATGGAAAGTTATTCAGTGGTGGAGTGCTTGCCTCGCATGCACAAGGGCCTTTTTTGTAGCTATTATGCTAATGTAACTTATTAAAGGACTTTTAGAATAATACTAGATGGTTGGAGAGCCTTTTATATGGGTTTTGCATGTGGTTTTGAACTTTAGCATGTCAACGTTGAGCATTTGCAACATTAAACAGTGCATGTCCGGTTTTCAATGATTTTTAGCATAAATGCATTGGCCAGTTGAGATTGCCCATCAGGATTCAAGGGATAGACTCATTTTGGTTATTTTAACTAAAAAGAGTTTCTGTAGTATTTCCTTTACTAATTTTTTCTGAGTCATTTTTCCTTTCAGTATAAAATTTATTAATTGCACTTATAGTTAGGCATGCTTGCTGAAGGGTTGTGAGCACAAATCAAAATAAATAATTTGGCCGAGCACTTGTGGTTTATACCTGTAATCCCAGCTACTCAGGAGGCTGATATCTGAGGATTGTGCTTCAAGCTAGCCTGGGCAGAAAAGTCTGTGAGGCTCTTATTTCCAATTAGCCACCAGAAAACAAGAAATGAAGTTGTAGCTCAAACTAGTAGGGTGCTAGCCTTAAGCAAAAGAGCTAAGAGACAGTGCTCAAGCCCTGAGTTCAAGCCCCATGACTGACAAAAAAGAAATAATTTTAGCTTTAACTGATTGAGTTGAGGATTGTCTTCCAAAGACTTTACATATAATCTATTATTTTTATACTAATGACAAAGAAGACATCATATGTTGTGTTTTGACATGGAGGAAAGCAGGCTCAGGAGAGTTGGAGAATATCTTAAAGTCACACAGCCAGCTTTGGGGATTGAAAGGCTATATTCTTTTTTTTATGCTTTTATGGTGAAAATACTGTACAGAGGGGTTACAGTTACATGAGTAAGGTAATGAGTCCATTTCCTATCGAGCATTGTTACCTCCTCCTTTGTTTTTCCCCTACCATCCCTTCCCTCCCCACCTCCCAACTCCCCCCCCCCCACAAGTTGTAAAGATTGTTTTCAACACAGTGTCTTGTACATCTCATTGTTACAATGGATCAACCTGTATCCTTATTTCAGCAGGGCATTGATGTCAAATACAGTGCAAACAGGGGTTATACTGTGGGGGAAGAACATACAAGAGAAACAAAAAAAAATCACATAGCACATTTTAACTATGTTAAAGCAATAGCAAGAAAGAAAACCTGTGTCCCTATCTTGTGGTTCATTTCACTTTACATCACCTTATATGATCACATGTACATAGCTTTTGACCTTTTCTGCTTGTCCTAGACTTATACTAGTTGATTGCAAATAAGGGAAATCATGGGACCTATGTTTCTTTGGGCGTGGCTTACTTCACTTAATATAATTTTTTCCAAGTCTGAAAGGCTGTATTCTTTTCAATATATACATTCAGATCTAGGAAGCAATCTCGCCAAAATAGAGCCTATGGCTATGGTTTATAGTGTCCTAAATCACTCATGCACGAAGGACATGTACCCAACGTGTATTTTGTTTCTCCATAAAAAAAATCATCTCTTTTCTAGGTGGAGGAAGCTCTATCTTGTCCATCTTTCACAGCAGGCAGTTAAAACGTCTTAACTAGAAACTGTTATGAAAATAGTGAGATATTACTCAAGATGACCATTTCCTCTAGTAATGTCTCAAGCACTTGTTTTTTACCGACTTTTTCCTGTTACCTGGCTGAGGTGGCAACTTATACCCATGCTCTCTGAGTAGAAGTTAAAGTAAGATAAATTAACTATTATAAAAATCTCTGACTAAAATTATTTTCTTTCTGCAAATCTGTTCTTCATCACTTGATACAGAAGCGGCTGGTGTATTCCTGTAGGATGAACAGCATTTTGTCTTCTACTTGTAATTCTCTCTGTTAAGTCAGTTGTTGCTCACACCCACATCTCCCAGTCTGACAGTACCACATCCTTTTTCTACCCACACTTTCCTCTTGAAATCAGCATGCACAAGCAAAGGCAATACCCTGCATCTTTTTGAGACAGATTACAATTAGATGAGGCTTGGATAGCACTGTTAATATTTTTACTTCTTGCCATTTTTTTCTTTCCTGTGTCATAAAAAGCATTCTCAGCATTTGGTTTGCATTTCTGAGGGAACCTATAGAATGGTATAAATAACTTTCCATGTTATTTTTTTAACCTCTTTATGAGTTCTTTCCTGTGTACAAGACTGTTAGGTTGACAACTTACTGAATTGAACTAATGAGCTCCTTTATATTTTTTGAAATAGAAAATGATTATTTTTCATTTAAACATAGTTTTATTTTGAAAAATATTAGGAAGAAAATGTTTGCTTTCCTTGGGGGCAGTCATAGAGATTATTTTACCAACATTAGAGTGGGAAGAAAACATTAAGAAAGGGAACCCATATACTAGGACATAGGGTTATTAAACCAGTTCTTCATGAGTTAATAGGTGACATATTACTCCTCTTGTCATATGCACACAAGTCTACCTAGTAGAGCCTTTGTCTTCTGAAAAGTAAAAGAAAATCCTTTGAGAGAATAACAAAAATGAATTGTATTTTTATTTATTGACATAGCAGTTGGAATTCTACCCTTTACTGCCCACCATATAATTTTAGAGTACAAGCTGAGGACTTATAAATTTCTAGATTTGGAATCTAGAATTAGATTTTGGAAACAATCTCAAATTACTCACTTTACAGGTAAGGAAAATAAAATTCTAATAGTTTATGTTCTTTCTCAGGACCATACAGTCACCTAGTGTCAATTATGCATTTCGACTCTTATCTGTGTGGATCCTAGTCTGTTTCTTTTCCTTTTCTTTTTTTTGGGAAACATTTTATAATTTATATATAAAATCTCAGTACAAAATCCTGTTTCTTTAACTTCCTAATTAGTGTGCTTTGACAGTCTAGTTAGCTCAGTGACAGCACGCAAGAAGTGTCTGAAGGATTTCATCCAATTAAGGAAACTTAAAAGATTTTAACTTAGTTAATTACAATTGAACATAGAATGCAAACCATCAAGGAAGGATTTAGTAAATTCTTTGAATCTGGCTTGAGATTATTAGGTCTCTACAAGCTCTGAACTTTTAGGTATGAGGTTATTCGTATATTTCAATATGAAACATAGTATACTAATCATGCTTGCTTAATGTAATATTAGATATCAAATACAGAAATTTCTTTTTAATGAAATAAATTTTTAGTATTTGCCTATGTAATAAAACTTTATGACTTGAAGTGCTAATAGTTTAAAAAATGCTGTCTTAAATCAGAGCATTTTTAATACTGAAGTTGACAATGTAAAACTCACTGAGACTGTTTCTGTTTTGTTGGCAGGGTGAACAATTGTGTTGGATTTTCAAATTATAAATTCTTCCTTCTTTTCTTGGCTTATTCTCTTCTGTACTGCCTTTTTATTGCTGCCACTGATTTACAGTATTTTATCAGATTTTGGACAGTAAGTCATTACTTTAGTAACATTTCTTTAGTTTACAAAAGTGTCTAACGTTGATTTTCAGGTACTGGCTTTCTCAAACAGAATTAATTTATATACAGTCAGTCCTCATTATTTGCAGGTTTTATGTTTGTTAATTCTCCTTCACAAAATTTATTTGTAACCTCCAAGTCCATGCTTACAGAGCTTTTGCAATCATTTGATGCATATAGAGGGGCAGCATGTCTGAGTGCTTTATCTGTATAGTCCTGGTGGTGGGAGAATGAGGCAATCTCTTCCTGTCTTCTTGTTCCAGCCCTCACACTTGTGTGTGTCTCAGTCTCTTTGGTGCCATTGTTTCTGCTTTTTTGTGTGTGATTTTTGTGTTTAAAATAAACTTCAGACATATTGCTCAAGTACTGTCTAGGACTTCTAAACAAGACTGATGTGTCTTATGAAGAATACATATGTATTAGATAAGCTCCCTTCAGATGTGAGTTACAGTACTACTGCAGTTAGGTTCCATAGTAATGAATCAACACCCTATGAATAAGGTACCTTGAAGCCCAAACCACATCAGACAAGGTTGTCACTGTTCATGACAACTTCATGGAACATTACTTTTGTGAATAATGAGAACTGACTATGTAAGTGGAATTTGTTCAGTGTTTGAAAATAGAAGTGTTTTCCCTTCGTGTGTAAGATTGTTAAGCTCTTACGTCCGCAATTAGGTATTCTTTGATTAGGTTTTAGGGTAAATCATTTGTTTTCTGCTTTACTTTTTTTTTTGTAAATAAAGGCAACACAAATTTAGAAATAAACTATTTTATGACAATTAAAAAGAAAGTATTTTAAATATCCAAAGATAGTTCTTATGAACACTAGTAAGAAGCATTGTCAGCATTGCTTTTTATTTTCATTGACTTATTCCTTATGATTGGAAGAATGTCTGAAGTGCTAGATCATTCACTTGAGGTTTGAACCTCATTTAACAATAACATAGCTCAGCACTAGGAAGACACATCATGGCATCCTCAGAGCTTCAGTAAATGTGTTCAGCTCCCAGCTCTCCTTCCACAGCTAGTCCAACCCTCTCATCACTAAATAGTGAGGGGCAGGCTGGTTTTTTTGGTTTGTTTTCTGAGACAACCTGTTCTAGCCCATGGATTTTGTGAGGTTTATTTTAGACATATTACTTGCTAATGTTGATTTTTTTCTGCAATGCAGATAGTTTCAGTAGCTTGAAACATTATTGTGGATGTGTTGTATGTATTCTTTTTGTTGATGCTGTTGTTTGCTGTAACACAAAACACTAAAGTTCATTTTCTGACCCCATAATAAAACCATTTAAACATTTGTGAATCCTGTATGTTAATTAAAAAAAACCTGGTAGTAAATTTAAAACTATACTTTATAGTATCATTTATCTTGCTTCCTATTATAATTTGTGCTACCATACTTTTCTATGATTTGATTATGCAAAAATAATAAAGTATTCAAAATTTTACTATTTTCCACATATATTCTTATCCCAATAAATATTTAATGTAATAGAAATATGTTCATTTTTCTCCTAAAGTTTTACCATGACACCATGTATCTTTCTCCATATCTACATTTGAGAAATATTTTAAGCAAAAAAATCCTTTTACTGACTTATATATAAAAATAGGAGAATATTTCTTTGACAAAACAATTTTCTTCCTTTCTTTATAGAATGGCCTACCTGATACCCAAGCCAAGTTCCATATTATGTTTTTATTCTTTGCTGCAGCTATGTTTTCTGTCAGCTTGTCTTCTCTGTTTGGTTATCATTGTTGGCTAGTCAGCAAAAATAAATCTACATTAGGTGAGTATCCAATTAATGTAGTTGATAGAATTTTTAAAGTATATGTAGAGAATAATTGAAAGTTGACATATAGTCAGATGTAACTTGTGCTGAAGTGGTAAAAAAATATTCTTTCTTTCCTTCTTTCCTTTTTCAGAACTCTAGTATATTCAACTTTGAATTCAGGGCTTTGAATATTTCAAGCAGGTACTCTAGAAGCAGGTTTTTTTGTTTTTTGGGGTCCTGTTGTGGGGCTGAACTCTGGGCCTGGGCGCTGTCCCTCAGCTCTTCAGCTCAAGGCTAGCGCTCTACCACTTGAGCCACAGTGCCACTTCCGGCTTTTTTCTTTTTGCTTATGTGGTGCTGAGGAATCGAACCCAGGGCCTTGAGCATGCAAGGCAAGTGCTCTACCACTGAGCCACCTTCCCAGCCCCAGAAGTAGGTATTTTTTTTGGGGGGGGTCCAGTCGTGGGGCCTGAACTCTGGCCTGGGTGCTGTCCCTCAGCTCTTCAGCTCAAGGGGAGTACTCTACCACTTGTGAGCCACATTGCCACTTCTGGCTTTTTCCCCCCTGCTTATGTGGTACTGAGGAATCAAACTCAGGGCCTCATTCATGCAAGGCAAGCGCTCTACCACTGAGCCACCTTCCCAGCCCAGAAGTAGGTATTTTTGAGGCAGGCCTCTAATCCTTTTTTGCTTTTTTATTTTTCCGTCCCTCCCTCCTTCCTTCCTTTCTCTTTCTTTGTTTCTTTCTTTGTTTCTTCCTTTCTTTCTCTTTCCTTCTTTCTTTCTTCTTCCTTCTTTCCTTCCTTCCTTTCCTTTCCTTTCTTCCTTCCCTCCCTTTTTCTTTCTTCCTTCTTTCCTTCCTCACTGTCCCTCCTTTCTCTTTCCCTTCCTTGCTTCCTTCCTTGCTTCCTTCTTCCTTGCTTACTTGCTTCTTTCCTTCCTTGCTCTCATTCCCTCCCTCTCTCCCTTCTTTTGTTTCTTCATTTTTCTCTCTCCCTTCCTTCCTTGCTTCCTTCCTTCCTTGCTTCTTCCTCCCTTCCTTCCTTCTTCCCCCTCCTCTCTTTCTTCCCTCCTTTTTATCTTTTTCTTATTTTCTTCTTCCTCCTCCTTTCCCTCTAAGGTAGGAAGAATTGATTGTAGTCCATGGTTACAGAGGTTTCTGTCCATATAGTCCCTTGGCTTCTGCTAAGTACAAGCCCATGCACTGTGAGACCGAACATGCAGACAGGAGCATGTGGTGGGAGAAGTGGTTTACCTCATGGTGGACAGGAGGCACCAAGACAGAGGAAAGTTCTAGAGACGTGATAAATGACTCAAAGGTCCCCAACGGATGTGTTTGTCTAGATCAGGGCCTCATCTCCTAATAGTTTATTCAGCTGTGAGTGACTAAACCCACTGATGAAGGTAGAGCTGCCACTGTCTAATCACCCCCGAGGCCCCACCACAGCGTCTGGTCTTAGTTATTTTCAGAGGGACTGGGCTGTCTTGGACCACAATTCTCCTATTTCAACTTCCCACTTGGTGGGAGGATGGCAACACACCACCATATCCAGAATTTTGTTGTTTGAAAATAGGGTCTTTTTTAATCTTTTCTTCAGGCTTATCTTGATTCTAGATCCTTCTGCGCTCCGCCTCTCCAGTAGCTAGGATGCTAGGCATGAGATGCCATGCCCACTGGCAGTGCAGAGACTTATAAATCCTGGTGGCTGCTAAGGACATTACAAGCTGTTCAATGGCATTATTAAATGATTTATATTCTTTTTTTTTCTTTTCATGTTTGGAACCTCAAACTCATGAGGCTTATGCCTTACCCATAAGGAATACAGGCAAGAGCCACCATCCTGTCTGACTTCATGTTTATTTTTAACATTTGGGTGAAATTTTATTATATAAAATGCTATCAGAAAAAAATGTTAGTATAATCAAATATCTTATGAGCAAACAACCTTATTTCGTTTTATTTTGGCAATTACATTATACTTTCATGCGAAGCCATTGAATTTTGTCTTTAAAAGGTTTAACTACTAGAAACGTTGAACTTGTTCAAAATATAATTTAAAAAGTTTTATAGAAAGCTCAACATCATAGAGTGACATGCTAAGGATCTCACAAATCACCATATTTTGCATACTGGCTAGTAAGAAGTTCATTTTGAAAATGATAGATAGAAATCATTATACTTTCATGTTCGTTCCTATTCTTAGGATAAAATCTTAGACTGCATATGTCAATACTATTCAAGAAGAAAATATAGCACTGTAAAAGGAACATGAATGGTCTTGTTCTAGTCTCAGTGCTGCTCATTTTTCTTTTGTGTGGCCTTGAACAAGTCCTAGAGCCTCTCTGAGCCTCAATTTTCATTCTCAGAATGGGCATAACCAGATACAATGGATAATTCTGATTTGGATCCTTATTTGGACAGATTATTTCCTGTAGCATAGCTGGAAGTATTTTGTGCTTATGTGAGATTAAATTTCATTGATATTGAAAATGGAGTTTATTGACTTAGGTTATAGAATATATGTATAATATTCTTTCATTTTGATTTTTAAAACATATAAATTCAAATATATTTATTCTTCCATCTATCTATCCATCCATTTATCAAAAGATGGAGAGGACAGAAAGCTTTAATATTTCCTCAGTTGTATTCTCTAGTTTTCTCTAGTGTACATGTCCCATAACTTACACCTTAGGTTATTTAAGAGTAGACTCCCTGTGTGTCAGGGTTCTTGATGAGGCCCTGAGCACTCTCAAGAGACTAGCTACTGGCTTGAAGTGTCTCACTCCACTCAGTTATTCCTAAAGAGTAGGAATCGTGGATCTTTATTCATGTGGCTGGTTTCCCACTTTTCCAGAGGCATTCAGAAGTCCAGTTTTCCGACACGGAACAGATAAGAATGGATTCAGCTTGGGTTTCAGTAAAAACATGCGACAAGTTTTTGGCGATGAGAAGAAATACTGGTTTCTGCCTGTTTTTTCAAGGTACTTAGCTGTTGTGTTTTTTCAGGTTTATCTAAAATATTGGAAGCCAACAAAAGGCAATTGAAAAACCTCATGTTCCACAGGTCTTGAATTCAACATACAGATTTTTTTCTTCTTCCTCTTCCTCCTCTCCTTCCTCTTTCTCCTTCTCCTTCTCTTTTTTTTTGCTGGTCCTGGAGCTTGAACTCAGGGCCTGGATGATATCCTTGAGCCTCTTTGGATTCAAAGCTAGCACTCTGCCACTCAAGCAACAGCTCCACTTCTGCCTTTTTCTGAGTAGTTTACTGGAGATAAGAATCTTATGGATTTTTCTGCCTGGGCTGGTTTTGAATCATGATCTTCAGATCTCAGCCTCCTGAATAGTTAGGATTACAGGCATGAGCCATTGGACCCAGCTCAGATTTCTATTTTGAAAGTATTGTTTAGTTTTGTTTTTTAATCTACTATTCTATGGATGTGGAAATCACTTGTTTCTGTAAGTACAACCACAATACTGAAGCCTGTGTGTGACCCATGTTTTACTGGTAGTATGCTTTGCACTCTTACTTTAGCATTTTACAGGTTTCAGCATTGTCTTTTTTATGATTCCTCTATTTTATTTTAATTATAGCCTAGGTGATGGCTGTTCATTTCCAACCTGCCTTGTTAACCAGGATCCTGAACAACCACCCACTCCTGCAGGACTGAGTTCAGCAGCTAAAAAGTAATCCTACATTTTTGTTTTACTGTTTTCAAATAATGTGTTTTGTTCTCTTCGTGTTTGGGTAGTATGTTCATTTGGGGGGAAAAAAATCAAGGACCTAAAATAATTTATTCCAGTAGTTTGAAATTTGGAGTTAAAGGAGGGAAGGGAGAATAACTCTAGAGGGATGCATGTGGGTTTGGATTATATCTATAAAATTATACACATGGTCTAGAGGAGAATGGAAAATAGCTATAATCACAGCTTGGGAGGCCAAGGCAGGAGGATCACTAGTTGGAGCCAACCTGGACAACATAGGAAGACCTTATCTCAAAAACAACAACAGCAAAACCACAACAAAACAAACAACAAAAAAAGGAAAAGCAAAAGCAGCAGCAACAACGAATGTGTTAATTTGCTATACATTGAAATGTCCTTTGATTTTTTTTTTTGATGTAGCAATTACAAAAAAAAAATGTAGTTCTCTATTGCTCCAGGAAGCTGACTTGGAAGAGAACTTCCATATGTTTTCTCTAGGGTAACTTTTATAAATCTCTGAAAAAAAATGTCTCCAGGCCAGGTCTTTGGAGATTAAAGGGACTTGGAGACATTTCTTTGATCATCCTGATATTAGCAAAGTCATGATGTCCTTTATGCTTTTTAAAGATCTCTAAACATTACCAGAGCCTTTCACCCACAAATTGATAAGGAAGGGAGCCTTGGAAATTCATTGTGTGGAGACTTTTACTTTAGCTTTCAAGTTGTTTTTATTCTAGTCAGAATTTGAAGACAGTAACAGAAAGAACAGAAATATAATCCTGACTTTGGTACTTACTAGCAAGAGTCTTTTAATGAATTTTCAGTGGCTCAAAACACTAATGATTTCACGGTAAGACTGTGTATCTAAATGTGTGTAACATATTTTAAGCCAGTAATGACAAAAGCATAACCAGATCATTCCTTATTGGACTAAAGAGATTTTCTTGGGTACAGCATCACACTCCTCTTCTCTCACTAACATATCCCACGGATCAGCAGGACGTTTCCTGTGGATCCTGGAGTGAGCCCAGAAGTTCTTTTTAAGATGGTGTTCAGGCCAAAGGCCATTTTGATGTATTTTAGAGGGACATTTGCATCGGAGCCCTTTCCTTGGTTATGCTGTGTCAGTTTTGGCTTTTTAAATCACAAGAGTTAAGTGTCAATGGATTTAAAAACTACTTCAATGCTAAAAAATCAATTATGTAAGGATAGGTTTTCCAGTTTTGTAGTATTCTTTTGGCAGGAGTAGGGTTTGAACTCACGGCTTCCTGCTTGCAAGGCAGGTACTGTAGCACTAGAAATATACTCCTAATCCTTTTTACTTTGGCTGGTTTCAAGGTAGTGTCTCAGGCTTTTTCCAAGTTGGACTTACGATTACTGCACCCAGCCATTAATAAGCTTTTATAAAACTTAATAGTATTTGCAATATTTTTATTCTTGTCCATTTGTTTTGGCCAGTCCACTCCCCAAATTGAACATTAGACATCATGTTTCATTATAATAATGACTTATAATATCAGACATTGTAATATCAGACATTGTAACATTTCTGGAAATGATGCTCAAGTTTGTTGTTTCAGGGAGAGAGCATCCTTTGTCCGAACCATCAAGACCACTCTGGAATCCTGGGGCAATTGTTTTCAAACTTGTTCTCCTGCCATCTCCTTCATATTTTTTCCATTTATTTATTCATTTATTTACTTATTTATTTAGATTGTGAAAATACCATACAAATGGGGTTTTAATTACATGGGCAAGGTAATGAGTACATTTCTTATCAAGCATTGTTGCCTCCTCCTTTGTTTCCCCTTCCCATCTCGCCACCCTTGTAAAGTTCGTTTTTCAACATAACATCTTGTACATCTCGTTGTTTCAATGGGTCCACCTTCCCCTCCACAAATTATACCTACATCAAATACAGTGAAAACGGGTTATACCGTGGGGGAGGGGCATACAAAGCAACAAAGAAATATCTTATAAATATGTTAGAAACAGTAGCAAGAAGAAAAAAACACTTGAGTCCTTATCTTGGGGTTCATTTTGCCTAACATCAACTTATCTGACCATTTCTGCTTGTCTCAGACATATACTAGTTACTGCAAATAAGGGAAACCATGGGACCTATGTTTCTTTAGGCCTGGCTTACTTAATTTTTTCCAAGTCTTTCCATTTCCTAACAAATGGGATAATGTCATTCTTTCTGATGTATCTTCTTCATGTTTCCATACCCATATCACTTACAAAATTAATATTTTTGTTTAAGATAGTTTTGAAACTTATTTCAAACCAGATTTTCTATCACTGTCACAAATGAGAAAACTAGTGTAGTTTGCCATAAATAGAATATAACTTTAAAAAATAAACTTGATGATAAAATACTAAGTTCTAAGTAGATTCCCTTACCTACCTACTACTAGGATTGCCTCCCTATTTCAGTATCAGGCTAAGGGCCATTTTCTATGTCAAAAGTAAAACTTGAGTTAGCCACTATCATCCTGTTCTAATCAAGAAAATGAAAGGACGCGGGCAGAGCTGTTCTCAGGAAAGCAGGTGTCTGTGAAGCCACAGTTAGCCTGGTCCTTCCTGTAGTGATCTGCATTCCACAGCTTGAGTTCACACGAGAAATTCTCAGCAGTACGGTCAAGAGTTAACTTAAGATGATTATTATTTTTCAGTCCTGAAAACCATCAATTTCCTGCAAAGCCATTAAGAGAGTCCCAGAGCCATCTCCTTACTGATTCTCAGTCTTGGACAGAAAGCAGCATAAACCCAGAAAAAGGCAAAGCTGGTAAGGGTGAGATTTTGCACTTATCTTTTGATGTTTTATTTTTAATACATGTAAGTGGTGGAAAGTCCATTGTGTTAACTACAGAATCTAACTACAGAATCTACAGGATCTATCACCAATTTAGAATTACTTTCAAATTTTTCCATTAATAGCTTTAGCAGTAGAAAATTGCTCTGTGAAAGATGGTTCTACATTGCTTTTGATTGAATATAAAGAGCCAAATTTTTATCATTGCATGTTCCAAAGGTGTTAGAAATAAATTCAAAATGCAAAATATATAAAAAAAGAAAGACGTGTGGTCATTTCAAATAGAAGATTGAAAAATATTTGCTGAGTTCAATGATGTGATTGTCCTTTATCCTAAAATCTCTACCTTATTTCAAAATTTCCAAGTGATCCCATTGTTACCCCTAACTTTGGCTGTCTCTGATTTATTCTCATCTCACTTTCATTTCTCAATAGTGTTGTTGTTTTTAATTATTTTCTTCACTCATGGTATAATTTGTTAGCAAAGATTGTTTTTGAAGTTAGGTCTGCTTACAAATCTCAAAGTAATCCGATTATAATGCTGATGTGCATGTGTGTGGCCTTGTCTGTGTATGTGTGTGCAAATGCTACACAGGTGATGACTGGCAAATACAGGATATGTGTGTATGTTTTTCCACAAACATCAATAGTATATACAAAGAACCTTTACAAATGTTCTGGGGATTTTTCATAGATGGATAAAGTAGTCTGCGTATTTGTCAAAACAATAAAGTATATTAACTTGTTTTTTTCTTTGAGGTATGAGTAACCCTGCATTAACCATGGAGAATGAGACTTAATTCTTAAGGTAAAATAAGTTCATATTTTTAAAAAGATAAGCTTTCTCTTTATTGTTATCTTGTATATTTTTAACTTTTTAAGACTATAGTTTCTATCAATATTTACTTTTTAGTAACTTTTTAGAAGACATGTTGTTTGATCTGTGGAATTGTATTAATCTCACTGGAGCCCCTGGGTACAAATCTGGCTTCAGTATTAGTTTTTATATTAATTCGATATACTTTAAGTTTTTATAACAGTGCATTAAATGGCAGAATGTTGAACTTCACCCAGGCACCAGTGGCTCACACCTGTAATCCTAGCTACTCAGGAGGCTGAGATCTGAGGATCGCGGTTCAAAGCCAGCCTGGGCAGGAAAGTCCGTGAGACTTTTTTTTTTAAATTAATTTATTTATTTTTTATTTGTGAACATACTGTACAGAGGGGTTACAATTACATGGGCAGGATAATGCGTACATTTCTTATCAAGCATTGTAGCCTCCTCCTTTGGTTTACCCTTCACATCCCTTCCCAGCCTCCCCCCCCCCCCCCCCCCCCCCCCCCCCCCCCCCCCCCCCCCCCCCCCCCCCCCCCCCCCCGACCGACGTTGTAAAGCTCGTTTTGGACATGACAACTTATACTTCTCGTTGTTGCATCAGGTCCACCTGTATCCTTAAACAACTGTTTTTTCCGTGAGACTTTTATCTCAAATAAACCACCAGAAAATCGGAAGTGGCGCTGTGGCTCAAGTGGTAGAGCACTGGCCTTGAGCTGAAGAATGCAGGGACAGTGCCCAAGCCCAGAGTTCAAGCCCCACGACCGACCGCCCCCCAAAAGAAACGTTGAACTTCAAAATTACATTGTCATTTCATAGGCTCATAAATAAATAAATTTATCTTTTTTTTTCTGTCTTTGGGAGGATATATGGTCATCTTGTGACCATCCATTAACAGAGTATTACTGGCTCCAAGCATACAATGATTCTATCTTGTTTGCACAAACCACCATCATCTCCATTCATGGCCACAGTGGAACCTCATGGCATATGCCACACTTAAGTAATAGTTCTTTCTTCCCTCCTTCCCTTCCTCCCTCCCTTCCACCCTCTCTTCTTGGTATTGTTACTGAAGCTTGAACGTAGAGTCTTATACTCTCATATGCCTTTCTTGCTATTTTCTTCTTTCTTTTTCTTTCAGCATTTGAACGTGGGGGCCTCATGCTTGCTAGGTTAGCACTCAACAACTGACACATCCAGACTGTTTCTTGCCTTAGTTATTCTTTTAGATAGGATCTCACTTTTGAGCAGGGTTAGTCTCAGACTATAATCCTTCCACCTATTCCCTGTAAGCTAAGACTACTGACATGGAATGCCATTCCTGGCTTATTTTATTGAAGTAAGCGCATACTAATTTTTTGCATAGACATGCCACAAACCACAATTTGTGGGTCTCTGCCTCCTAAGTAGCTGAGATTACCATTCTGGCTCCAAATTTAAATTGTAATTTTTAAAACCCTATTGTTCTTAATCCTTAAGTTCATTGTAGCATAAAGCTACAATAAGAAGTTCTTTTGGAATAAATCCACAAAAATTCAAAAAATCTAAAAATCTATAAAGATCTAAACAACTCTGTAGATTTATTGTAATAGAATATAAAGACTGATACTTAAAGTATTAATATAGCTCTGTAGTTACAAAATTGCAATACAGAATCCAGAATTCTAAGAGAAGCAAGAGATTAGTAACAAAAACAAAATCAACAGTGTCAAAGTACTTGAAAATATTTTTGCTGTTTTGGTTTTAATGAATAGCCATGTAATTAATGTGAAATATGGTAACATGCCAGGTGACTGGTATTTGGCCGGTGGGAGGCCAAGGATCATCTCTGAGACATGACAGTAACTGAAACTATGGTAGGAGAAAAAAAATGTAATCTTCTGAATTCTGTTTAATAACAAAGACACAATATTAGATTTCTACAAATAAAGGCTTTGACTAGGAGTATACAAATACCATTAGGAAATATCAGAAATAAAAAATCTCGTAGAACATAGTTACTTAACATAAAATTTCACAGGTTTTTTTCAATATTTTGAATCCTTAGTTATAATACTATTTGAGGTCAGTGTTATTACAATTTTTTCTATATATTAAGTATTTTACATGATAATACTTGTATCTTGTGGATCATCTAGATGAGGTAGGCCAGTGTTACATTTGTTAATTAGCTCCAACACCTTGCATAATGTCATATAGTTTCTTAATAAATTTTTGCTAAGTAATCAAACATTGAAATAAAAAAACTCATAAAACCTTGACTTAATTGAGTATATAATAATAGCATTATCAAACTAATGGTAGCATGAATCAACTGCACAGATGGAAAAAATTAAGTGATTTTTGACATAGTTTGTTTTTCATTTGGTAGTAAAATATAGGGTTTTGTTTGTCTGTTGTTGCTTTTTGTGCCAGTTCAGCAGGCACAACTCAGGGCCTGGGCACTGTCCCTGAGCTTCTTTGCTTAAAGTTAGTGATCTACCACTTGAGCCACAACTCCAATTCTGATTTTTTTGGTGGTGGTTAATCAGGGATAAGAATCCCATGGGCTTCCTGCCCAGGCTGGCTTCTGTGATCCTCACATCTCAGCCTGCTGTGTTGGTAGGATTCAGGCAGGAGCCACCAGTGCCCAATTATTAAATGTAGTTTTTAATTAAAGTTTTCAATGGTAGACAAGACTTTTTAGATAGAATGGCATATACACAAAAAAATAATAATAAGAGCTCAAAGCACTGGAACAATAGCTCCAGTAGCATGGCTGCCTAGTAAGCACAAAGCCCTGCAGGTTCAAACCTCAGTACTCTCAAAAAAGAAAATGATATTTTTCATTATACTTCAGATTTGCAGTTCATTTAATACACACACACATAGATTAGATGTCATCTGTGATTGATGGCCTACTTACCAAACAATATCTTTGTATTCTTTTTGAACTACATTAATAAATCATCTGCAGCTATATTGGTGAGGAGCTTGCTAGGGATTGAACCTAGTCTCCTGCATGCTAGACAGGTGCTGTACCATTGAGCTATACCCCCAGTCTGATCTGTCCTTCTAATAAAATATTTCTTAGTTCAGTACAGTTTCCATATTGTTACAGTGTACCCAAATCTATGTTAAAAACTTCATATTTAGCTTACCCAACCTTCACTGTCATGTAATACAAATATAAAAGTGTTTATGCATATGTGTATTTTCTTAAATTTCTCAGCCAAATCTTGCCATTCCCAACTCCAGTTAGCTACAGAGAAATGCACCAACGTGACAGCCTGCCACTTAAGATTGTAGTATTAAACCAGTAACATTCCTAAGCTTTATGGAAGGACTCTTGGACCCTACTCTAGACTTACTGGAATCTACATGGAAACAAACCAATCAATAAAGTCTTCATGTTTTTCTGAACATTGTTTGAGAACCATTAGTATAGAAGATTTTACTCAAGAACATACCTACTGAGCCTTGTACCAAAGAAAACAATTTGAACACAGGATGTATGTTATTGTGACAAATAGTGAGTACATTGCTTATGTTGTTTTTTTTAAAAAATGGTTAACACAATAGTGTCATGTTTTCTGTTTTGTTTAAAGGTACTAATGATACAGAAGGATGAAAGAGGCTTCTCACAGGAAGGCACCATCTGCCACTTGTGCTTGTATTATACTTTGGGGCAGATTTTTTTGTTCATTTATTTTTATTTCTTCCATACTGGGAAATCTAACCCAGAGCTTTGTGCTTGCAAGCACTGTACAACTGGGCTACATAAAGCATAACATGTTTTGATCCAATATATACATTGTTACAACTAATGAATTCCTATTATGTATTAAAAGTAATTGTGGTTTAGTTATCAAAGGGGAAATATCATCTATTAAAAACTGGGAATAAATTCATAGGTCAGTTTTTTACGAGCTTAATCCCATTAGCTATTTGGGTTTTCTGATTCAGAAAGTGTGGGCTAATGGACAAAAATTGATACATTCAAGCTACATTATAATTTTAAGCTTAATTTGTGAAATCTATTCACTACCTTTAAAGAGAAGGTAAAAATCAGACTTAACATTGATTTTTCCCTCTATGTGAATCTAAACCTCAGACAGAGAGTTCTAGCAAAGTGAATATGGCCGTCCATTTTTGCCAGATGTTAATTAAAATTCTAATCTTTTCTCCTTTCTGGAAAGTAAGCATTGAAACTTGAGCTTACTATTCAAAGCAATTACCTAGAAAACTTTTCTCAGAACTAAGAACGTTCTGACAAAAGAATTCTATTATATCAGAAATATATTTTCATCTCTTCTAATCTTAAATTGGTGGGGCAAGAAATCTATTATAACAATTATTCTTTTGTTTGGCTTTTATAAAATCTCTTCTTCAGGTTATTTCTTTTATTGAATATATGTATTTAATTGTTGTTGAGAATTCCATAGAGATCAATGGATTATTTCTCCAGGAATGTCTATATTATTTCTATATCTTCCTAAAATATAACAATCTGTATTTTTCTTTAAATTCATATCAGGATTAAATTATACAAATCATTAAACAAAACCATACACTTTTGGAAATTTAGTTCAATATGAACTAAATGGTGTGCTGTCTGGAAATTAGTTTAAGATAAGCTAACATGATGTGTCTGTTGATGCCAAAATGTTTGGCTTCAATAAACATATTCAGAAGCTCCTGTGCCTTGTATGCACTATTTAAAAAAAATCTCACTTAAAAAAACAACACTTGAATGGCTCTTAAGTTTTGTAAATGCTAACAACTAGAATAATAAGGTATATAATTTCTTTGGTAGTGATTTTGAGAATGTACCTATTAAAAACAGCTAAGTAATTGGTGTAAATATGTTCAACACACCATAAGCTAGATCAGGAAGTAATAGAGTAAAAGATCCATGCAATTGCTAATCTGTGCTTTTAAAAAATATATAGTTTTATATTAAATATGTTTATGCCAGCTGAGTCCATTTTCCAGTTCATTTCAGTGCAATTGTTTAAACTCTAGAATGGCCATTATTTGCACTTTTTTTCTTATTCAAGTGTTTGATCTGACAATCTGCTTTAAGAAATCTCAAAGATATAGTAGTTTTACTTTTATCTTGAAAGTTTTTGGTCATTTGTCATTACCTGAAGTGCCAGACTAGACCCTCTAACTCTTGCTATTAGTCTTAAGGGACAGTAGCCACATATGATATATTAAGAATTATGTGCAGCCAAGTGTTTGGGGAAGCACAGTAGTACTACAGCTGTTTTCTTTGACATTCTGTTAAATATTTCTTGTCCAAAGGAAGCTAGGGGTGAAGGGAGGGATTTTTATCATTTACCCTGCTAGAATAATGTTAACTCTTCCTCCAAGTCTTTGGGGTATACATTAGATTTGGATAAGTTTTAAAAAAATAAACTTTTTTTTCCATTAACTTCTAATGGTTCCCTTCCTGTTTTTATGTAGTGAATTGCCTTTTAAAGGGTCTTTTGTCCAGTTTTGTTCTTAATTGTAGGCGATGTTTGAATTTGGAGGTAATTGAAGAGCTCATGAAGTATTACATATTCAGTATAACTTTGCCTGAGTGAACAAAGCACCACATAAATATATCTACATTTCATACATTTTTCAAAATTTACCCTACAAACATTTTAAGTCTCTATTTAAAAGATGGAATGGCTTAAATCAAGCCTGAAAACACTCCTTATCTTGACTCTCCTTTAAAATGTTGTTGGATTTCTCCTGACTTGACATTTTTCATTTTAAAATACTAAACAGATGTTTCATTTGCATTTGCTAAGGTTTGCTATCATATAGTGGGAGATAATTTCTTCAGTGATAAAGAATATTGGAGTATGATGATGAAGCATTCCAGAAGTTCATACTCATGAATTTGCTCCTCACCTTCCCTCTTATCATTAGCTATCTGAAATTTTGCCTGCACTGACAACTAAGATACGCTTTTCCTACTAACCTATCGAAGTTTGTAGTCATACCATGCCTCTCTATGGGAGGCACTAAGAATTAAGGTTATGTATTATTTGTTGTTAGCGGTTCTGACAATTAAAAATAGACTGTAAAGATGGGATTCAGATATTGTTTGCCCATGAATTTAGCTTTCACATAACTGTTATATTTTGTTTTTCCTTTGTAAGATTTCCTTTGTAAGTATTGCTTTTGGTCAATTTTGAATTAAAAAAACTTTAAAGAGTATAAAACACTGTAATCAATACAAATGTATTATTAATATGGCACACATTTCACAAAAAACTACCTTCACTTAGGCTATCAAACAAAAGGTTTATAAAACTCAGCAAGAATCATGTTTTTTTGAAAAAAAAAACTTGTTGCGCTGATTTTGAAGTTAAAACTTGGCATATATTTACCAAATACTTAGAAAATTATGAAATATGTAAGTTTTTCTAAACCCATACATATAAACAAACCACAACTTACAGTGTAAGTCACGATGGTTTTCTCAGTACCTTATTACTCATCTACCCAGATGCTTATTCTAACTAAGACTTTGTCCAGAGTGATATATTTTAACAATGGCTTTTTCACAAATAACATGTCTCTCAGTAAGATCTTCCTATGGAAATTTGTTCTTAACTAAGTAGAAAAATGTCTAGCTTAATTCCAAACTTTTAGCAGCCTGGTATCCTTTCCCTCCCCATAGTCAACCCATTTAGCAGGAATTTCCTCTTCCACAAAGAAGAGGGAGACATTTACTTGAGGTGTTTAACACATTTACAAAAATTTATTTTGTCCTTCCCATGATTCACTCTATTTTATTGAAATTTTAGCCATTCGATCCCATGTACCATTATTAATAAGGATTAAGTAGATGCTATTATAAGTATCCTTACAATTAAACAAACTGAAGGATATAATTGTTACAGAACACAGCAAAATGTGCAAACTGCACTTACCACAATTTTCTCTTCAATGACAGACCTATTCTTTTATAGTGTGACCTGGCTAATAGTGGACCTCACTGTAAGAAGTGAATTCAGGTCATCTCAAAGGAATGCCTGTAGGCATGAATATAGAAATCTTTCTGGAAGTTTTCAGTTTCACAGGAAGCTCTGAGACAAGTATGTTTTTTCCTTTCTTAAAGTCCCCTGAAAATGTCAGAATAAGTGATTAATAGCTCACAACCTCTATCCTCTTATGCAAGCAAATATGATAATCTGGACAGCATAAATACAGACAAATCACTTGCAGTCCTTTCTCACCAAACAGTGAAAGCAGAAACAAAACTGGCAACAAGTGTCCAGGGAGCTCTGATATTCTTGTCCATAGCCAGCAATCAGTAATCATGTATAACTGCTAGGAAATGTTTTGATGTTCTTGTCCACAGCCAGCAATCAGTATTCATGTATAACTGGAAGGAAATGTTTAAGACCATCTTCTAGTTGGCTTATTTCAACTAGTATCAATTAGATTTCATTAGTGAAGTTGAAGTGATTTTGAGCTCTGGATTATGCTACATGGTTTGGGTTTTTTTTTTTTTGGTCTGGTCGTGGGGCCTGAACTCTGGGCCTGGGCATTGTCCCTCAGCTCTTCAGCTCAAGGCTAGTGCTCTACCACTGGAGCCACAGTGCCACTTCTGGCTTTTTTTTTTTTTTTTCTTCTGCTTATGTGGTGCTGAGGAATCAAACCCAGGGCCTCAAGCATGCAAAGCAAGCGCTCTACCACTGAGCCACCTTCCCAGCTCCTTTCTCTTTCTTCTGTTGTGGTATGGGCTATTAAGATTAAATTCAAGGCCTTGAAGGCAAATGCTAGGCCAGGCAAATGCTCTACCACTCTATACTCCTATCCCTTGGTGTCTATGTAGCTCATGTTGAGCATGAACTTGAGATTTTACTGCTTCCACTGCCCAGTGTGCTGGCAATGTGGTTTGTAATCTATCTTAGTCCTCATAAACAAAAATAAACCATCACTGTTGAAATGCAGAAAGTACAGAAATTCTTAACCCCCAACCATTCATGAAGTTACTGAGTTCTGTTTTGTTGCCCAAATACAAGTATTTCATATTCTTCTAATATTTCTAAAAGAAAAATTACCAGCCAACATATAAGAAAACATTTCTGAAGCCTTTATTTACAAAAGCTTTAAAAACAAATACCCTCTGTTTTTTCAAATAATGTTCTGTTTAAAAAGGACCACCCAGTACAGCATTGTAATATCATGAATATAATAAAGAATGTACAAGGGAAACAAACTAATCTTGCTAACATCTGGAGATTTGCTAATATTACTAATATTACTGATTGAAGTGTAGATAACACATTATGACTTGTAGTCCATCACTTCAAGGTAGACTTAATGATTATCATAAAGTCTTCCTACACATGCTCTGGCCTGGTCACATATTCTGCCTGGCTAAATATTTCACAGTCTCTTGTCAATATATATAAAATAGATTGTAAAGATATACACAAAAAAATAAACAAGCATTACACTCCTCAGGTAACTATTAGCTATATAAGTGTATGTATATATATATATTGTATTTTGTTGTTTTGCACCAAATCTCTCCATTATTTTTGTAGCTATGAAAGCACAAATTTTGACTCTTAATTTGATAAATTTGATATAAAATATACCTAAAAACTTGTTATCTTTGGACTTCAATGAAATTGATTTGTATAATCAACAAATCAAGAACATCATAAGTATGGCTATAAAATAAAAAAAGATAATGAAGGTAAGCAGTTATAGAATAAAGAAACCGAATAAAGGAAATGTAGTATCATAAAATAACTGTAGCTTCAACATCTTGAATGCCAGTTTCCTGGTAGATACTAAATGTCCAATCACAAGGGCCTTTTCCTGAAGGGTGTAAAGCTGGTTTGAAAGTTCTTCAGTCACAAAGCAGCCTACACATGCCAATTAGAAATGACAGACATGAGATGTGCTTGGAAGATTAAACACTACATACATAGACAGTAGTCACTAAGCTCCTCAGTAGTTCCTTGTCTTTTGGTTGTTGTTAATCTTCCTGAATCAACCGTTTGCACAATACAAGTGCTATATTCTGTAGGTCAAAAACAAGCAAATACTGTATAAAATTGGCAGATGGTCATTTTCCCAGCTAAGAGCAAGAAAAACCACAATTTCTGATAAAACAGAGGATTGGAATCACTCTCTAAAGTGCAAAATTGATGGTCCATACTTTCAAATACTTAAAAACTCCTGCAGAATGGAAGGGAAAGACATGAAACAGGGAAATAAATTACAGGCGATACTAATTAATTTAGGAATGGGGGAAGGGGACAAGCTCAAGTAGGCAGTTTATCAAATTATTTAGTATGATGATTTCCCCACGCTGTCACACATACTTTCTAACACATATATTAAATTAAGGCCAAATTTAACCTGAATGTACTTCTATTCATTAAGTTCTGAGATAGAATCAGTCATACTTCGTACTGAAAGGCAGAAAATAAAATGTGCTATGAAAGGGGGAGAAAAGATATTGTATATCGTTAAGGAATTCAACCAGAGATAAAACCTATATACAAGCATGTATGTAGCTCAAATAAAATAAAAATAAAAGAACTATTTCATGTCATGACTGCTTGTTGGCTTCCTCTTCATATGCATTCCCTGTGCCATTCTGTACATAGGATGAACCAGAACCAAGGCCATACAAATGACCACAATATTTGGCATCATCAATGTGATCTTCAAAGAACATCTAGAAAGAAAATTTTGAAGGAAAAAAAAAATTTTAACCAACAAGTAAATTTCACAATGAAAGTACTGACTGTTCTTAGCTATAGTGACAACTCTTTTCTGTTATTTCTTCGAAACCACACACTAATATTTAACAAATAAAGACTGATGTCTTCAACAAGTAAAAAGCTTAAAAGAAATCAAATGAAAAAAAGTATAAATGCTTATCTTATTAATATTTATATCACTTTTATGAGGATTTGTGAGTATGGGAAAAAGGGCATACAGTTCAGCTCATTAAATTATTAATACTCAGCAGAATGAAAGAATAGCCAAAAATGGGAAACAACAAAGGCTTTTAGGTTGCCTTTCTATCTGCAGGCTAAGGGGTGACAAGAAATAAACGCTAAACATGTCATGGATAATAACATCTGAATAGTCACACTACATTATTGTCCTTGAAGAAAGAAAAACAAAAGTATTGAATGAGTGCCAGAAATCCACCATTATTAATTACTGAAGCATTTTAAAAATGCAAAGGTGAAAAATCCAAGAGTGTCTTAGTTTTATAATTTTACACTGGGAAGGAGTATAAAAGATAAAATCACTTGAGTCAAAATAGATTATGCCTTCTATTATTTATATTTCTACAAAAATGTTAAGTTCCTGGTTGCTTCCAAGTAATTCAAGAAAACATACTCAGAAGAATTCAACGTTTCAACAATCACTTAATTTTTAAAAAAACAAAACTATTCTATATCAAGTGTTTTGCAATAAGTAAAGGTCTTGCTATACGCAAAAGTTCTATTTTGTTTTTTCACAACCAGTTTTCTTTTATGAAGTGTACTTGTACATTTTTAATTACATAGTCTAAAAGTCAACTTATTAAATTTCATTCTTCCACACATAATTTTATATTTGAGGTACATGACTTCTATCTTTTGTAACTTTAGAAAGGACTTCGCAATATGGATTCTGATTAAATTACCATTCTATCTTTATTTATTGGAATCAACTACTACATTTTCTGCTTTAGAATCCAAAATAACTTCTAAGGCTCAATCCAGTCCACAGCATAGATTGCTTTTTAAATCTTCAAAGCATTAACACTAGCATGAACAAATAAAATTTCTTTATTAGACTAAAATCTAAGGAAAGGACAAGTTAGGGGAAATTTAACATATTAATTTCCTGACTTGGCAGAAAACACTGCTGAATCTTAAGAGCAAACTCTGGAGTGCTACTGGTAACATGTTTCATTTAGATAAAAGTTATCGGAAGTGGCACTGTAGGTCAAATGGTAGAGCGCTTGCTTTGAGCTGAAGAGCTGAGGGACAGTGCTCAGGCCCAGAGTTCAAGGCCCACAACCGACAAAAAAAAAAAAAAAAAAATTATTAGCCTCCGGTCTGTTTCCTCACATGAAAATTAACATGGTTGGGTTTACATGATGTCTACAGAAGTTTAAATTTTTACTTTTGGGTGGTACTGGTTTGCACTCACTACTGCCAGGCAAGCCTTCTGCTACTTAAGTCACACCCTCCGTCATTTAAATTTATTTATTTACTCCAGCAAGGATGTATTTTTTCCTTTCTGAATTATTTTTCAAGATTATTTACTCTTGAATACTTTTTATTCAAGTATAGTAGATGTGACTTACATAGGACTTCTAATTATATATTGACTTAACATGTTTTTATTGCCCCAAACTTTTGCCATCAGATTTTTTTTTAATGTTTTCTACACAACCAAGAAAAAGATACTGATATCTCCATACTTCTCTCATTTTGAAAAAGGCCATTCCTGTAAGTAATGAATCAGATCCTGCCTGATGTTGTGGTCCTATCCTTTCCAGCTCCAACTGTTCAGCAACTTCCTGTAATCCACCCTAGAAGAAAAAGAAATGGTCAAAGGGAGAAGTACTTTAGTACCTGAAGAATTCATATATCAAAAACTTGGACAATGGCCAAAATATGAAGAAACTATAATATGTAAAGACAAACTGAAAAGGGTGGGGAGAAGAGAATATTACTAATGCGTGAGAAGCCTATGACTAATTTATTGGAAAATGAGATCCTAATTGGAAAAGTTGGTCTTCATCATATTTTTAAGGCATGTGTCAGGTGCATAACCTTAGTAAAAATACAAGGTAAGATCATGTTATAAGGTGTACTCAAAATCTATTAATCCACTAATCATTACAAAACTTTCTTTTGTATTTTCTTAGATTTCCACCAATTCATTTCTGAAATATTTTGTTTACACAATTTTGAAAAAACAGTAAGTAATCAAATCATTAAGAATCTACTATGAGAAGGTGAATTTGATTGGAATACATCATAAACATGTAGAAATGCAACAATGAAATCCCCCTCTGTCTAATATAAGAAGAAAGAAATGGTAAAAGAGAAAAAACATAAGGAGAGAGGGAACAAGAAAATGGGGAGAGGCACACTCCAACAACAAAATAAGATAGTAAAATTCCTTTTTAAATTCCAAAACCTCTTCTAGCAAACCTTCCCTTCATGATATAACAGCTTTCCATAATGCTTTGCGCAGCAGTTTCTCCTGTACTAAAAGCATCATAAAGATTAGGTATCATTAGCATCTGTTTAGGAGAACAAGAAAGAACATAATGGAATGGTGTGATTGACTATAGTTCACAAAACCTATAGCTTTGCTATTCGAAACTTAAGCTTTCATATTGTTAGACATCTCAAATTTTGACACTTAATTCCTGACAACTGTTATTGTTCAGACCCACTAATTTTATAAAATGTTTACAAAGCCAGACTGAAACATGGAAGACCTTAGTCACAGTACTGAAAGGCAGTCATGAGGAAGAAAGGTAACCCAAGTCCCTAGGGTATTAAGGACAGTCTACTACAAGGTCATATGCTGGAAGTCTTCAAAATATACAGAATCCTATTACTTTCAGCTCAAACTATCACATGTTGGTCATATCAAGTATTCAAGGCAAACAAACTTTGTACTTCTCATAAGTTTTAGTAATTTTTAGTTTACTTCTTAAAAAAAGTTTCCTTATTCAATACCAGGCTCTGGTGGGCTCATGCCTGTAATCCTTAGGTACTCAGGAGGCTGAGATCTGAAGATCAAGGTTCAAAACCAGAGTGGGCAGGAAAAGTCCGAGAGACTCTTATCTCCAATTAACCACCATAAAACCAAGTGGCCCTGTGGCTCAAGTGGTAGAGCGCTCACCTTGAGCTGAAGACCTGAGGGACTGTGCCCAGGTCCCAGAGTTCAAGCCCTATGACTGACCAGAGAAAAAAAGTTTCCTTATTCAGTACCCCTATTGTTTCTTTTTGCTTTCTGTCTTTCTACCATTTCCTGTAAGTAAATTTCACTCGTTTTCTAAATCTTGTTAAGGAGAATACTTGACTAACTTCAGTGTGAACAGAAGGAGGAACAACATAACTATAAAACAATCACACTGCCTCAGAGGAACAACAAACTATAAAACAATCACATTGCCTCAATGTGTTAACCAGTCAAGCAATAAATGAAATAAAGCCACTGTATTCCCAGCAGTCTATGGTAACACAGTCCTCAATGCTCCTTTAGTTTAACTTTTTTCTTTATCTAAAAAACTTCTGAAAGAATTAGTGTTCCAAAGTAAAAAGATGAAATTCATGTTCATGCAATGTGTGACCTACATTCTCTAAAGCATTTCCTCCTAACGAAGTTCACATATTTTGTGAAGATTTTAGTTATGCAATTTTGCCCTAGAAACATTGTTTCATTAGAAATGACAGAAAAAAAAAATCTCTAATCAAGATAAGAAAAAAAAACAACAACCTCTGTATTATATCTGCCCACTGCTCATTTATGTGTAGGAAAGTAAGAACTGTGTGTATGAGTGCCCCACTAGTTCTCACATTTCTATTTTGGATCATTTGTAAAGTGGAAAACAGTAACAAAAATTTGGTCTGTAGAATGACTTTTGTTAAAAACTTTTTTCCAAGATAATAAATTATACAAGAAAAAGAATCAGAAGGTCAAATATGATTGCATTTAGTATAATATTGCATTTACATGTATGGCTTCAAGTCTCTGTGCCTACAACTCTGTCGGTCATTTCATTCAGTGTTTGACTATAGATGTTATTACTTAAAAGCCTTACTTTGAGATTTTTGCAGCTCTTCATGAGGTATTTCACATCATAAATGACAGGAAAAAACAATCGAAGGATCTCAAAGAAGTCAAGTTCTTCTTCAGGCAAGTTAGAGTTGGTCAGGATTTTGATTAAATAGCCAAAGTCATAACCGCTAAAAAAGATATAGAACACAGAAGACACATCAATACCAGAGAATGAAAAACTAAGTTTCTTCCCATATAACTTTCATGTTACAGAAAAAGAAGGAATTAACAACAGAAAGGGCACATAACAGATAAAAAAGCAGTTTAAGGAACACGCTTTCTGCTCACAGATAATGCCAAAATTTTATCACCAGATCGATCAGAGACCTAAATACACAGACCAACCCAAGCCTGTATCACTAAAATACTATTTTACTGGTGATTAAACAGAGAATTCCAAGGAGAGCAAAAACCTAAACAATGGATCAAAAAACTTCTGTCCATGGAAACAGAGACATAAACATAACTGGAAAACTGGATGAAAAATATCAAAAGCTAGCAAGAAAATTCTCTTCAGAGGGTAAAAATAATGAAGTTCTTGTCATCTTTTAAAGAGGTAATATTTCCACAGACCAGAGTTAAGTACCTAACAAAAATATTTTCCTTTTCCTTGAATGACTTAACTATATTCTCTGCCCTTTCAATTGTTTCTATGGTGTTATTTGAAGCAACATTATTAATAAAAAGGTTACACTTCAAAGAAATGAACATGGATAATAAGACACAAACTCTCTCAAATCAAGATTTCTTGTCATTTATTGTCTATCAACCTCCAATCCTATACCAATTATTCCTTTTCTTTAGCTAGCTTTCTGTTAAGGGGCTTTGGTTGCAAGCCTGCCATGAAGACCCCAGCTTCCAGAGATTTCTTAGGTAATACACTGTTAGCTTATAATACACTTCAAACTAGAAAGATTGTTTTCTCCATTGATTCAAAGCGCAGTGATATACTTAAAATCTTTTGATCCCTTACATATAGTTGGAATTTAAATATCTAGATACAAATACTGTAGATATATAGATATTTAATATTTATAGTTTAGGACTAATTTTTTAAATTTGTAAACTTTAATAAAGAAAATGAAACCTATGGAAAATATTCAGTCATATTTAGTGGAATAAATCTTGTCATGGTAAAAATTTAAATATGGCCCAATCTAAATTCTAAGAACATATGAACCCTCTCTGGTTTTATTCATCTTAATACCCCCAAGGCCTAGCACATAGTATTTTCTTATAATATTTTTTGATGAAAAGAATTCCTATCCCTTAGATAGTAAAAGACTATGTCTTCTCGTTTTGTATCTTCATGAGTAGGAACATAAAAAGAACTGGAAAAAAATGTTCCTTAACGGAGATTTAATTCTTGACTCCTACATACAAGTGGAGATCAGAGAGAGAAGATAAGTGAGAATTTGTACATTCAGTACCTTCATATCAAAACTTAACTGCTTAGTATTACATCAGACTTTATAACAGGAAGAGTCCCTTTCTATTATTCCACAAGGCATGTGTGAAAATCTAAAGGGTGCAGGAGATTTATATTGTTTTAAAAAATATTTCCAAGGTCTCTTTTAGTTCCAAACCATCCATTTAGCTTGCTTACATAGGAAAATGTTTTCTCATGCCTGGAAGTCTTGTTAAACAAGCTTGAGTTAATCTTTCTAAAATTTCTCCTAAAGCAGGCACCTAGAATTTACTGTGTATAAAATACTAGATGCTTTGAGTATATTATTGACTACTAAAATAATTCTGCAAGTTATTTCTTCTATAGAAAGTCTTTATCACCCTAGGTAAAGCAAATGAAATCCACCCACAGCATTTATTCTTTTTTCTTCATAGCACTTTCCACTATCAAACAAAGCATAATATATACATTATTTTTTATTTTTTCCTGGTTGTGGGGCCTGACCTCTGGGCCTAGGCACTGTCCTTCAGCTCTTCAGCTCAAGGCTAGTGCTCTACCATTTGAGCTACAGCACCACTTCCAGCTTTTTCTGCATATGTAGAACTGAGAAATCCAACCCAGGGCCTCATGCATGCAAGGCAAGCAAGGCAAGCAAGGCAAGGCAAGCACTCTACCACTGGGCCACCTTCCCAGCCCACATTAGTTTATTTTTAAAAAGCTATTTACTCTCTAGAATGTGAACTCCATGAAGGTAAGTCTTTTAGTCTGTTTTGTTCATGGCTTGATTCTTAGAATCATATCTTTTTACCTATGAAATGATAACCATTTGACCCCTTCACAGAGGACCACTCCTGAAGTCATAAGAAGTTCTGCAAAGTATTGGGTCTCAATTCCTTCCTCTTCATGTTTTTTAAACTGGATACCTGATGTTGTTAGTAGCTCTATAGAATCCTGAGCATACATGTCCTCCCTGGCAGGAGAAACAGAAAGATAACATTCAAAAGTGCCATTACTTCAAACAGTTTTTTTCTCCCATTTATTATCTACAACTACAATGCCAGGAATAAGACAAGGACTGGCTTGGGTCCAACTGTTGCAATGTTTTACATCTATGCAAAGAAAACATTCAATGGTGAGACTAATGGGAAGATTTTAACCTTTACTATCAACTCAATTCCAGTAACCATCTATATATTACATAAATTCAACTGGGCTTGAAAAAGAGGTATTCTACTCACCAGAACTACTACTGCAAAGTGATACACGTTCTTTTCAAGGGCTTTCAGTTTCTGCAGCCATTCTAATGCTGGCAGATGGAGCTGCAGCCATAGCTACGAGGGACTATGCCCATCTCTCAAGCTCTCAGCAGAAGCAGGAAGAAGGCACCAAAGGGAAACATCTTGTGTGACTGAGTTAAATTGCATTCAATCTCAAAGAAAAAGATGCCCCCTCTCACAAATGTCAGGCCTTTCAAATGGCTCCAACAAACAATGAACTGTTTAATTTTCTCTTCCAACTCCCTTAATCCTAGAAGATTTTCTACCAAAGCCAAGTCACAAAATCTTAATATAAATCAGCCCTTCAGAAAGCCATCTCTAATTTTCCAAGCATAAATACGTAGGTATTCAAAGAATGAATTTTAAAAAGTTACAAAACCATAGTTATATCTGTAAAATAGCAAAGTTAACTACTGAAAAGCTTAACAGAGGAAACAAGAACTTTAAGTCAAAATTTCCTCTGAAAAATCCTCTAGAAAATAAATCCAATACAAGTTTCTGGTTTTGTTTGTCCAGTTAAACAACATATAGTGACTCTGCTATATTAAACATATTACCTTAAACAATAATTTCTTTCACTCATCAGGTCCCAATGCTCATGGAATATGTTTCAACAACTAACCGAAGGTCAAAGGAATTTTCTCCAGGTTCACATTACTCAGTCATATGTTCAATTTCTTCTGATTTTATGCCATCACATTATACATCAATGAAGTATAATAGGAAGTGTGGTACTTAAATCAGTATTTCCCAAACTTGCCCAATGATTATCATCCAGAAAACTTACCAAAAATATGGATTTCCAGGTCCCATTGAAGTCCCAGACCTATTGAATCACAATTCCCAGGTGAGGCCTGGATGAGCACCTCAAACATTTTTATAATCAAGTTTGGTAAACAAAAGATATGTGTACCATTATTTCTTTCTCTTTTTTTCTGGAGAGTAACATACCTTAATTCAGCTAAATCTGTGTGCTCTCATCTAAATTTTGTGGAACTGAGTATTTTATAATTCCATACCGATCTCATGTTTTGTAATAGCCAGCTCATGAAAAAGACAAAGTTGGAAAACCCATGTAGGCAGGTTAAATCTCCAAATAGGATGAAGAAAACTTCCTGTGGTAATGGAAACCTCATTATTGTTACGAGTCAATTCTCCAGTAGACTATCCTTCTCTGATGATATCCATTTCAAGTTTTAAGCCTTTTCATTATTCTTTCCTCAGCCTCAAAAATCCTATTATATTTCAGTGGTACCACTGAAATAGTTAAGACTTAGTCAATAACATAACTAAAGATAATACTACTAAAATTTAATATAGTAAGATAGCTATCTGTAGTAACTGAGCATTAATGAAAAGCATGTACAAATCTCTAAAAGCAAAGATAAATGGCTTTCTCACCTAATAACCTGAGATAGAAACTAATAATAAACACTAGTCAGTAAATGTATTGAAATAACCTTTCTACCAATATAAACTTAGCCTATTAGAAAAATTCAGATTTCTAAACCTATAGCTTCTACCCAATTTTAAACTATTCCCAGCTCAACTTATACCTAAAAAGTTTTAAAATGTCTTCTCAATTAAGTTTACTCTCCCAGTTTCCTTTATATTAGCTTTCTTAAAAATGTAAATGTCAATATACTCAAAATATCTACTAAAAATTAGTTAAAATATATAAAACTTGAAATAGTCCATGTATACAGATTAGCTAAACTTATTTAATTCATTCATTCATGCAAAAATGCTCCAAATATGAACAGGCTATGAAAGACAAAAATAAAAGATTTGTAATAAAAAATACTTTCAATACTAGCTTACAGAGTAATCAACTAAAAATAAAACATTCTCACAAGTCAAATTAGCAAACTTTTCCAAATATGCTAATACCTGCTACATAGATAAGTGAACTAGGGCTTATTTTCATCAATGAACATAATTTTACAGAAAACAAAAATCCTCACTTTCCTATTTCTCAATAAGTACATGTATCAAGAACTTTGAAAACACCCACATCCTTTGAATGAAGCCTAAAAATATTTACATCTTTGGATAGAGATCTTTATTTCCAATAAAATCCCCTATGTGGTGGCTAAAGACATGGATACTTGTTGACTTACAATGAGGTCATGTACCAATTAACCTACAATGAGTTAAACATAATGTAGAGAAAAATGCATGTAATCCACTCAAGCTAAAGAACATTATGGCTTAGCAGCACAGTACACTATTAGCCATAATTTTATGGCTGTAAGATGCTATTTGCTGTTACCCCAAACTCCAGTATCTACTGCTAGCCAGGGAAAAGATCAAAATTCAAAGTCTGGTTTCTCCTGAATGCATTCTACTTTTGCATCTTTGTAAAGTAAAAATTATTACATCTTAAATCAAAGACCACCTATATACGAGAGTCACTAAACTGTACTAGCAGTCATCTCTTTACTGTACAAGCATGTTATTATTTTTTATAACCAGAAAGAACAAGTCAAAAACTATCACTGAACATGCTTCATTTGTCAAAACCTCAAGTTATTATGGTGTTATGTTCTCTTCATATCAAAAATTCACAGGCTTCAATGTTGATGAATCTACACTTGCCAGCTGAAGTGTTTAACTCACAAATTTTAATATCCAAGTAGATCAGGAAGAAAAAAGAATAGTGTAACAATTACGACAAATTTTAGCTTACATATCTATCACAGTAGTAGCCAAGCACAGCACTGTGCTTCTAGATTCAATCTTTACATACTATTATTAGTAAGTCAACAAGCACAATGGAAAGGAACAAAACTTTCCATAGATTTAAAATAAATGTAAAATAGTTGTTGCCAAGCTCACAGTAAGTATCATAACAACAGTAATGCAAATTATCAAGGAAAGTGAAAAGTAAAAGAACATTCTATGTAGAAAACTTATTTGTACAAAAATCCATTGATGGGCATTACAAATGACAGCTTGCTTCAAGATTCAAGAGATCTGAAGATGGCTTATCATCAAAACTAGTTAAGTAATATTATTTTGATCTCAGATGCTTTTGGCTGTATATATTCTGAGGTATCATTGTAGTCATCTGAAATGTATTTTAAACACAAAAGCTTTCATCGTTTAAGTCTTTACAACTATATATGACAAACGAGAACTAGCAGTTACTTCTGTGATAGTTATAGTAAAATGTGAAAAAAAAACAGATGTATTTTAAATAGGAGCAATACTAATATAGCAGAAGGGAGTGATGGAAAACACTTAAGTTATAATAGGCATGGCCAATTTTCCTCAACAATACACCCCTCATGCTAGCACACTGGTTGACACATTGTTCTAGACATTCAAATAAGTCAATTTTCATCTTTCTTCAGCAAGTCCTAGATGTTGTTCATGTTATTTCTCCACATTAGGCAATACTGGTTTTAATCTTCAGCTGGATAAACTTTACTGTTTTTCACTATACTGTTCTCTTTATTCTTTACTCATGTCCTAACATAAGTGAAAATTGGAATGAAACTTGGCAGTAAAATGCCACTTATGAAGAGTGTACAAAGAGGCACTGTTATCAAACTAAAGATTCTGGGAAAAAATGAAACTCAATTTTATCAAAATTGAGACTCTGATGGGTCATTAATATACTGAGATCACAACCATATCTTATAAAACACAATACAAAAACAAAAAAAAAAAACAATGTTCTAATGATGTTTGGAAGAAAAAGAAACCTGAACAATGAAATGGTAACTAATGGAAGAGGCGATAAAAGATCCAAGGTAATTTTCACTGAGTTTCAGGCTTGGAGCATTTATAAAGGTTATCCACAATAGCGGAGATGAGTACTTTTTAGTCACTAAAAGGTCTGGAGAGTATGAATCTATTAATATGAGTCACACTGAACAGATGCAATTTTAAGTCCTAAATATTGTGCCACTGTTACCCTCCAAACTTACCTGCCCTACTCCTCTCATTATCTCTTAAGTGTTCAACAGTACAAATCTTACACTGGTGTTGCTAATAATTGCCCTGTTAATTTCTGTTACTATTAGATCACCTTTTGTTATATTTGATCATCTTATACAAACACAGGCTCTCAAAACAGAATACATCAATACTGCAACATAGTTACAATACACTACATACTCTTCAACTGAAGTTTGTAAATAATCTGCCCTTGCCCCACACTAAACATACTTAACTTCCCCAACTGTAACACAGAAATAGAAAAATGGAAACCAAGTTTAGACCCAGGGCTAGAATCAGAATTCAGATTTTGACAGGTAAGAGATACCAGGTTCAAAGATGCTATTACTTTTTGGTAATAATTGTATAAAAATCTCTTTACAAAAAGATAAATATCATAACGAAGAAGTCTATATTGGGCTGGGCAACAGCTGAGTGATGGCATGTTTGCCTTACCCAAGGCCCTGATTTTGATGCCCAGCTGCCTGCCCTTCTAAAAGCATATATTTCAAACATAAAAGGCCTTGAACAAAATGTTCAAAATATAAAATTAACGTTCTATTATTATTTCTATCAAGAAGCATTTTCAATATCCAAGATTTTGGTGCTGAGAATGCAGTTGAATGGTAGACTATTGTATGAAACCTTCGGTTCTAAAACAATAAAATCAGTTTTCAAACTTTCAGAAAAAGGTGTGAGTCATATTTCAAAAACATCTCTAAAAGTAATGGAAGCATTTAAATTTAAAAAGTCCTTATAATATCATTTTTGTCACATTAAAACACCCTAGTCTTTGGAAATTTTAGAATTAACAAACTTCTAGGACGATAGCAAATTCACTTAGAATTTCACAATATTGTAAGAACACCTCATTCACTGACTTATTACATGTGGTTTTGGCCAAGCACCAATCATTCATTCATAAATAAAAATTTCAAAAAAAATATTTAAATGCATCATATAATTCAGCTGACTCAAGAGATTCTTGTCAGTGCTGTATTATCAGTCATGTTTAAAGTGTGATTTTTTTAAATTATCTCTCTGTCCTTAATTTTGTAAAATTATGCCTCTCAAAAAGCAAATGGAACCCAAAAGAGCAAAATAAAAATTATGATGATCCTCCCAAGCCAAAAAGGTCATGTAATGTGGCTAATTTAACTGATAAAGTAAAAATTTTAGATTTGCTGAAAGGTGGCATATCTTTAGTGGAAGTTGGATGGCCTTATGGGGAAAATTCAATCAAGTATCCATAGCACATATAATACAGAACTCTATGCAGCCTGAACATTTGAGAACTTTGTTGATACCATATACCCATAAATACCCAGAGGCAACTGTATTTTATGAAAACCAGTTTCTAAAATTGAAAAAAAAGGTTTGGGTTATGTATTTCCCACTTACGTCAAATTAAATTTAAAATTAAATTGCCAAGTTGAAGTTCCTGGAGGGTATTCTCCTTGCTCATTCATAAATGTCAGTCCTAGCTGAATTATCTTTAACAAGTCTACATTACACCGCAATAGTTGGTACTGATAGTCAGCATTGCTCCTGAATTCTCCAATGGGTCTCGCAACAACACCTGGAAACTCAGTGTCCTGCAAAAGAGTATTAAGATTCATTATTAATCAAGTAATCACAACCACAATCTATAAATTCTTAGTTTGTTTCAAGTCAAATAATCATGTTAGAAGCAATATCCTACATGTTCATTCAGTTAAGAGTACTTTTCAACTAGGAAGAACATTGTAGAGCCATAATACTATATAAACTTAACGATCTTTTCTTAAAATCTCCTTCCTGTAGGATGCCATTACTATGAGAAATAAATGGTTAGTATGAATTTCTATAAGAAAAAGACCCTCCCGTAAAAGAAAGAAACTAATTCCAGCTCTAATTATGGACAAGTTCCTTTATTAAATGGAATGTTGCCTACATATACTATTAATTTATTTTTAAATCAGTTTTGAGGCTTGAACTCAGTGTTTTCAGTTTTTCTCAACCTGTTTGCTCACCAATAGTGCTCTACCACTTGAGCCATACTTCCAGCTAGCTATTTGCTAGTTAACTGGGAGATGAAGTCTTCTGGACATTACTGCTTGGGCTGGCTTCAAACTTATCTTCCAGGTCTCAGCATCTTGGGTAGCTAGGATTATAAGTGTGAGCCACCGGTGCCCAGCCAAATAGTTATATTTTAACCAATCATCCTGTCCTTCCCAAAGAAGCATATTTATTTTCATTTGCATTAAAATCGATCAGTTTAATACTATAAAACAACAGTTAAGAAAAAAAAACTAAGTTTCAAATAAGAAACAGAAAAATTAAAACTTTCTTAAATGCATTCCAGCTCCACGTAACAACCAAGTACTGGATACTGTATATTATTATACTAGGGTTGAGATAACAACCAATTACTAGACACTGTATCTTATTATACTAGGGTTGAGATGGAAAAGGATGTGTAAGACACTAACCCCTTGATTTATGGAGTTAATAATCCAGTGGATCTAGAAAACAGTAAGAGTAGCTGCAAGAGACACACAAAATACAATAGTAAAGCAGAAAAATTGTTAATTGCATAAATAGTCCACGCCATTTCAAATAGCATGTACAGAAGCAGATTTGCTTAGCAATATAGTGTGTTCATGGAGCTCTTGTAAACTTCTTTCTTTTCTTTTGTGGTATTGAGGTTTGAATTCAGGACCTCATACTTGCTACAATACTGGGGTCTTGCTACAGCCCATTTTTGCTTTAGATTGTAGGTAATTCTCATGCTTTTAACCAATACATTGCCTTGGACTACAATCCTCCCATCTCAGCCTTCCTCCCAGCTGGGATGGCAAGCCATGCTGCTTATCTGTCAAGATGGGGTCTTGCTAGTTTTGAGTGGATTAGCTTTGAACCTTAATGCTCCCAATCTTTGCTTCCTGAGTAGCTGGGATTATAGCTATGAATTAACATGTCTAAATTTTCTGCGATAATAAAAAAATTGCAGACCAACATGTGTCACAGAAAAATTATTTATTTGAAAAGACATCCAGGAACTCCCCTGGCTGGTACAATTAGCTATATTGAGCTTCTAAAAGAACTGAATTCATTCTTATAAGTAGGTCCTAAAGTATTGTTGAAATCAAGCAATTTCAAAGAATTTCAACCTCAAACTGCATTCTGTAATCATCTCTGAACAGATAAAAAGTTTTTTAAACCATAAAAATGACCAAATCTCTCACTCAGCTGATACTGAAGGTATTCAATCATACAATGTCCTTGCTTTCTGACAGCATCTTATCCACGGCAAAGTCCTGTCTTATAGAACTCTCAATAAAACTACTTGACAAAAGCCCAAATCCTAAAGTATTTTCTAATAATTTTCAAATACTATAATACTCTTTTAATGCTCTTCAAATGCTTCATAGTTCCCAACGTATTTTCCTTTACTGAAATGCATAATAAATCCAACTTGCCAAATTACAGATATGTTTAGGAGAGTCCTGGCTAAGTGAATACAATTTCTTTTTCATGGTTAAATTAATACCCCAAAAAGTTAACTGAAAGGGTTGAATTCAAGACTTCTAAAATTCCACTCCACCCTTATAAGTAGCTTTTTAAAGATTTGGTCAAGTGCATACCATAGCAACATAATTATATTTTCGGATAACTTGACGGATTTTCTTCATCTCTTCATCCAGGTTACAAGCCCAAACTTCACAAATTCTTTGGCTATGATCTACAGTTGCTGCTGGCATAGTGAGAGATAAAGGAGTCTATATGCCAAGCATCAAAATATTATACTTGATTGAAGACTTACTTCATAAATATTTTATCCTTTATTAATGGACCTGTCAAAATAAAAACCATCTATATCATAAATCACACATAGAATTGTACTGGTAAAAACTCAAGAGTTACTTATTCAAAATGCATAATAAATAAAAACATCAACTTTTAGGAAGTTCCTTTTCCAAAATCAAATATCTAATCTGTAGGGGAAAAATTAGAACAAGTTCCTTTAATGTAACTTCAGTGTTACTTAAAAGTGTACTTTATGCATAAACACAAATCATTTTTTAAATAGTCTAAATAAGGACTGCTCCGAGTTCAAGTTACTTTCTGCACAAAAACTTTAAGAAAACCCACCCTTTTTCAGATAAAAATGAAATTAACAGTATCAGCTGTTACTATGACAAATATAGTGCTTGTGTTTATTCTTCATTAACAAAACACTCAAAAACGTACAAAATCTACACTGGCATTTATTCAAACTAGACTGAAGGGAAGAAAACTTAAAAAAATTAAAATAAATTAATACTCCAACAAAATGTACACAGTGAGTCACACCTGTAATTCCAATTACTTGGAATGCAGAGATCAGAAGTAAAGAGGTTCGAGGCCAGCCAGGCAAAAAGTTAGACTCCATCTCAATGAATGAGCCAGAGAAGTTGGTCCTAGATACAGGATGAAGTAGGTAGGAAGATGGAGGTCTGAAGCCCATCCAAGGCAAAAACATGAGAACCTACCTGAAAAATAACTAATGCAAAAAGGTCTGAGGACATGTCTCAAGTGACTATCTAGCAAGCCATGAGGCCAATTCCAAACCCTTGTGCCTCTTATAACAACAGATGCAGAGAAAAGTAACAGCCTGCCACAGAAATAATTTGAATGTCCACAAATGCAGTAGGAAGAAAGGCACTAAGATGTTTGCATTAAAAAGTTTTGTTTCAGGCCAGGTACTGGTGGCTCAAGCCTGTAATCCTAGCTACTCAGGAGGCTGAGATCAAAGTACAGGAGACTCTTCAATTAACCACCAGAAAACGGGAAGTGGCCCTGTGGCTCAAAGTGGTAGCGCCCTAGCCTTGAGCAAAAGAGCTCAGGGACAGCAACCCTGGCCCCGAGTTCAAGCCCCACAACCGACACCCCACCCCCGCAAAAAAAAAAAAAAGTTTCCAACTTCCTAAAAATTAGGGCACTCCCACTGTTGATCAAAGACATACATCGCGTTTCTGGTCCACTGATACAAGGCTCATGGTATATAGTGATAACAGAAATCAAGAAACTGATTCTCAGGGAAATTTCAAAGCTTTCATTTGAAATGAATTAAAAATCCTTCAACTTCATAAAATTGTCATTAAAGTGGGGAATCCCGATTACTCTTAAGACCAGGAATGAAAGGCGGTGCTAGGCACTCTTGTACAACCCTCCACACTTCGAAAAGACACAGCCGCTCAACACCTCTTTCCTCCTTCGCCTCGCTTTCTAGTGCATTCCAGAGCCGCCTTAAAGAGGCACCACAGGCCTTTTCCTTACTTCGGTGGCATCTTCGCGGGCTTCCAAGGAAACAAGAAGTACTCATAGCATAGATAAGTCTATCCGCTGGCAGAGGGCCGGGGCGAAGGGACTGACTGGCGTTTGCCGGCGCCAGATTGACCGCCAGGCACTGCCGGCTACAGACACGGGAGACACCGAGCCGCGGGACGCAGGCCACCGGCCCTCCACGCTCAATTTCCGTCCCACCGCGAAGGCCCAGGTACAAAGCCGTGGCGTCATCATCCCGCGCCGCGGGCTTGACAAGCCCTCGGCCCGTTACCCGCCCCCCTCGCCCGCGTCCGGGCCCTTTCCTCCGCCGGGGGCACCCCCGCAACCGCCGCCGCGCACACCCTCCGGCTCGTCGTTCCCGCCCCCACCCACGTTCCCCTCCCAGCCCTCGCCGCCCGCCCTCCCCGCGCCCCCCCCGGGCAGGTCAGCGGCACACGCCAAGATCTACTTGTGTCTCTGAGCTCGCGCTCCTCTTCTTCCTTCTCGCCATAGAGAAAGCACCTGGCGGCGGCGGCGGCGGGTGCCCCATAGACTCCTCTCACCCTTGCAGGGGAAAAGCGGGGAGCCGGAGCTACGCCGCCCCGTTGTACGCCGCCGCTCCTGTGCACGTCCGGGCCCCGTCGCCGGGTGATGACGCAGCGCGCAGAGGGGGCGGAGCCAGGCGTAGGACGAGGCCAGGCGCGCAGGTGACGGACGCTGGGGTGGTGGAGCGCAGCCGGCTTACAGTCAGACTGGCTGGCCGGTCTGGGGCGCCTGGGCCGCGAAGGGTAGGATCCGGGTTGCTTGTGTCCCGCCCGACAAGTTGCCCCTCTCCAGCTCTCTCCAGTTCTATCATGGCCCCCCAAGCCCGGGGACCGGGAACCCGGCTTGCTTGGTAAAAGACGCCGCTGGCTCGCCCCGCCGCCCGCCCCGGCGCCCCCGGGCTCGGACCTTGGGTAGTTCGGGCCGCTCCTCTGTGGCTGGAGACCCGCCGGGCCGCCGCTGGGAGAAGCAGGCCCAGAGCTGGTTAGGGCCTCGGGCCCGGGGACCCGAGGAGGATGAGCTGGCTCTTTCCCCTGACCAAGAGCGCCTCCTCCTCCTCCGCAGCAGGGTCCCCCGCTGGTGGCCTCACCAGCCTCCAACAGCAGAAGCAGCGCTTGATCGAGTCCCTCCGGAACTCCCACTCCAGGTGACTGGTTGCTGCCGCTTCCTACGGGAGGGAAAAGTAGGGCGGGTGGGCGGGCTGCTTCTAACTACCCTCTTAGCTCCTCGGGCAGGCTCCCTCTCCAGCTGCCGTGTGTTTGGTGTTGATGGACTTCCCTCCGGGGAGGGTGTTGCTTTCCCCTTTCTACCTCCTGCTCGCTGTTTTCCTCCTGATCCTCCCCTACCTCCTGCCTTTCCCCCCTCCGCCCCCCCCCCCCACTGACTGGCTTCACCTCTGCTATACCCCGATTTGCTCATCCCATCTGATACCTCGCTTCCGACTGTAAATCTTTCTCAGTCTGTCCAGTATTCCTTTTAATCCCTGGCTTCCTCACTACTTTTTTTTTCTCCCGCTGTGCCCACCTTGAATTGAAACTTTGACAGAATTGTTAAAATGTTACACTTGGCTAAAGAGACTTGGCGAACAGCTCCCCAAGTCTCACAAAGTGAAATACAGAAGTGTTGCAACCCCAAAGGAAAGTTTGCATCCAGAAATTCTACTCAAAGTGACAGTCCTTTTGAGTCTGTCATTAACATCTTCTTCCCTGTTCCAATCACCTCAATTCCCACTTACTTAATCTTGGCTCCACCTTTAGGAATTGTTATTGTATGATCTGAGTTTTCTATAAATTTTTCATTATAGTGTAGTCGTACTTGAACCATTTTTTTTCCTTTTCCATTTTTTCTTTTACTGAATGAGTAAATCAATCACACACCAACAGTGTTGTAAATTTAAGTAAAATTCCAGTTATTTTCGACTGCTTTTTACTATTAACGGCTTGCTGCAATCTTTTAAATTGTAAATATTTATGGCTTCAAAAGTTTTACGAAAATAAGAACTGCTTTTTTTATGTTCTGTGAGTTTTTACAGTTATATTTGACAATTTCCCAGCCTTTTATGTAAAGATGTTGATTAAAGTATTCCTTTTTAAAGTAATCTTTTTGTGCTTCTAATAAATGTATCAGGAGATAACAAAATCGAGTAATTGGTATTGAGCAGATGTTTTATCTATTATACATGACTTTTTCTAGAGTTATCTACAATAGTTTAAAGGTAAATACATTGTTAAGAAAGTTCACTCTACAGTCAGTTTCACTAGAATGAGGCTTGTTACTGACTGAATTTAAGGTGGATTTTGGCTGTTAATCTCAACTTTGCTTTTAGAGGACTTTCAAAAATGAAAAAAATGTGATCCTGTGTGCTCTGGAGTTGGTGATAGGATCAAAGGCCAAGGCTAGCCTAAGCAGTTAGTGAAACCTTATCTGGAAAACTGAAAGCAAATGCACTTGGGGGCTTGACTGAAGCCTTACTTAGTGTCTTGGAGGCCCTGAATTCATGCCCTAGTATTTAAAAAACAAAAAAAGTGAAAAATTGTATGTTTTAACAGAAAAAAGGGGGTAGGCTATTATTGATCGCGTCCATTTTTGGAAAGTTAAGTTTATACAGTTTTGAGGGTTTTGTTTTTGTTTTCTTATTTTTCTCTACAAATACTTCAGAAGTGTAGTGGGGTAAAAATGTAATTGATATTTTTCCTCAAGGAGGTCACTGTTGATTCTCCCATAAGGAAAAGATAGGATACAAGAGGAGAGAGCAACAAATTTACTTAGTGAAAGTTTAATATGACATTGTGGGTTTCAGAAACTAAAACCTAAAGATTCAGGAAAAACTGTTTACTTTTATGCTTAAGTTCAATAAGGAATGGACAGGTATGATAGAAAAAATGATAGTCAACTGAGGTGGTGGAACATATGAAGGTCTGTTTAGATTCTTGGCTTTTCTGTAGCATTCCTTCTTCTCAAGTATATGTGGGATAGGATTCTCTGGAATGAGTATCTTCTAAGTAAACAGGAAGAGAGTGACTTTTATAGGTTTTATGGTTTGCTTTGGGGGAGAGGAGTTCTATCTTCTTGGACCAACCTCAAAGAGGAGAAATTCTGCTGATGACTGTTTTGAAGGAAGAAAGGTGTTTAGCCAAAATCTAATCACATGCTTAGGTCTGGTATGAAAATGGAAACACTTAAATTTGTAGCCTGGACTCAAGTCCTGTATTGCCTGGGCAATAATTATGTTGGTACTCAATTTATCCCTAACACTTCTAACTTTATATGTAGAAGCATTACTTGTACTATTTCTTTAACTTCATGAAGGAGTTCATTTGATGAGATTCTGTTTGTTTCCTATCTAGATCCATTTACTCTGATTTCTTTTTTTAAACTTTTATTGTAAAGATGCTGTACTGAGGACACTCTGACTTCTCTAGAGAGCATCTGTTTTGATCCCATTATTCTCTTTCTCCCCCAAAACTCCACGGAGCCACAAACTTAGTGGAGATTGGGCTCTTTCAGCGCCAGGAGATTAATAATGGTTGTTTACATCAGTGATGATCTCAACAGGACCTCCCATTGTCAAAGTAGGATTCCATCTAATTTTGCTATCTGGGAGGTGGAGGAGGAAGTCTGAAGCTGCTCAAAACATTTCCCCATTGTAAAAAGAGTTGTCTGGGTGGGGAAACAGCTGGGAAAAAGAAATAATTGTCATATTTTAGATATTATTGTTACCTGGGACCCTACTGTTTAAATTTTTTTTTAATTTTTTATTTGTCAGTTGTAGGGCCTGAATTCAGGGTCTGGGTGCCGTCCCAGAGCTGTTTTGCTCAAGGCTAGTGCTCTACCACTTGGAGCCCTGAGCCACTTCCTGTTTTCTGGTGATTAATTGGAGATAAGGGTCACTTGGACTTTCTTGTCCCAGAAGGCTTTGAATTGCAATCCTCAAATCTCAGCCCTCTCAGTAGATGGGATTAAAGGCATTGAGCCACCTGGCTTGCTTAAGCTGACTGCTGCACCCATAGGGAAGGATAATGTTTTGCTGCTTAACCAACTCTGGAAATTCCCTTCCTCAAACTAGTATAGTTTAAGTAAATAACTCTTCAGGGTTGAAAGCCACCTTATTCTAGTTGGTAATTATTTGTATTATAGACTGTCCCAAGTGCTTGTGCTTACTAATCCTGGTATGGTATGTAGTATTTCTCTGGATTGTAACTATAGTTAGAAAATATTAAAAACAGATGGTCTTAGTAGTGGCTTTTTTCTAACTAGGTCTCTCTTTTCTCACAATATGTAAATTATTTTCCTTTCTAATTTCCTTTTTCCTAAAGCAACATTTTGAAACAGTGCTATGAGTAGTAACCATTATTTATAATTAACTGTAAATTCAAAGTTAAAAAATAATAATCTTGGGGATGGGAAGGTAGCTCAGTGGTAGAGTGCTACCCCTTGCATACATGAGGCCCTGGGTTCAATTCCTCAGCACCACATAAGCAAAAAGAGAAAAGCCGGAAGTGGCGCTGTGGCTCAAGTGGTAGAGCTCTAGCCTTGAGCTGAAGAGCTGAGAGACAGCACCCAGACCCAGAGTTCAGGCCCCACCACCGGACCAAAATAATAACAATATAATAATAATAATAATCTTGTTTCTTTTTACTTGGATCTCGCAGATAAAGTACTTCTGTATTCATTTCAATAATTGCATGATAATTTTGGTGTTACTTCTATATTCAAGAGTACTGTATCTAATTTTGGCGTTACAATTTTGTATGTTTTTGCTTTGTTTTCCACTCTCTACACTAATACAGTCATAATGAAAGCTGCTTTGAGCAAGGAGCCAAGTGATGCAGATGTGTCATAAAATGGTGGCGTGTCCTTAGATGGTCATGTAACCTTTATATGCCTTGAGCTCACTGAACTGAGAAGATTGGCTTCCTAATCTCTTATTGCCATGCTCTATGGTGAAAGTTGATTCCTCAGGCTCATCAATATAATAGCACCCTAAATCCAGAAAACAAAATGAACTAAAGCATCAATAAATGCATAGGGGAATAGAATCTATATAGTAAAACTCCTGGATTCCAGTTCTGGTTCTGACACGTACTAGCTAAGCTTTGGCAAGATAATTCCTCTGATTTTCCAGTTTCCACCTGGAAATTTAGGGAGTTCCTGCATGTAAGATTTTGTTGTTGTTGTTTAGGGGGTGGGGGTGGGAGGGAGGGCAGAGGATAAGTCTTGGGCTTGCTTTGCACTTGCTTTCCCACTGAAGTACTTTCCTAGCTTGAATGTAGGATTTTGATGTTTACATAAATGCTTGGGTGCATGGTATTTGAGATTAAACTTATGGAACATAGCAGGCACTGGTGGCTCACATCTGTAATCCTAGCTACTCAGGAGGCTAAAATCTAAGGATTGAAGCCAGCTGGTACAAGAAATTCCATGAGACTGATCTCCAATTAACCACCAAAGCAGCTGGAAGTGCAGCTGTGGCTCAAGTGGTAGAGTGCTCACCCTGAGCAAAAGAATCCTAGGGACATTACCCAGGCCCTAAGTTCAAGCCCAGGATCCAAAAAAAAAAAAAAAAAAGTAATAAAATCACCGTAACTTGTTGCCATAAAATTTTAGGCTCCCGTGTGTGGTACTGTTGGAAATTGTGAAGGCTCTGAGAGTGGAGCCTTGTGAGAGGCTTTACGTTGTTAAAGGTGTGTCCTTGAAGGGGACTTGGAGCTTTCACCCCTTCTGTGGTTTACATTTGTGCCATAAGGTAAATATGCTGCTACTTTGATGTGCTCCCTGTGGCAAGGGCCCAAAAACAATGGAGCCAACCAAATGGTGTAAAACCCTCAAAAACAGACACCCCAAACAAACCTTTCCTCTTTATAAGTATGTGTGTAACAGTGTTGGAAAGCTAACACAGAAAACTGGCACTGAGAATTGGATTCATTTTTGTAGTATTACCTGAGACAATGTGGACAAAGCTTTGACGTTGTTTTTAGGAAGAATTTAGAAATCTCTGGTGAGGGAGAGCCTAGAATGATGAGTGGAGCTTCACAGGTGGTTCTGTTAGGAACTCAGAAGGCCAGAATGCTGAGAGAAATGTGAGATTTCAGGTGGAACTGGGAACTCTGAATGAATTTGATCAGAAAACACCCACATAACTCCACA